TGGGGTTTTACATCTCGTCCAAGATTACTGCACTCATACAGCAACTAGACAAAGGGTGATGTGAGTGACATGGGGTTTTACATCTCGTCCAAGATTACTGCACTCATACAGCAACTCAGACAAAGGGGTGAAGTGAGTGACATGGGGTTTTACATCTCATCCAAGATTACTGCACTCATACAGCAACTCAGACAAAGAGTGAGGTGAGTGACATGGGGTTTTACATCACGTCCAAGATTACTGCACTCATACAGCAACTCAGACAAAGAGGGAATTGGATGTGTAGTGTCGTGTTCCTTCCTTGTGGGGATCTGTGGGTTTGAATCCCACCTTCATACTGATAATGAATCTTGGTTTGTCTGTACCATACCAGACCTTACGGTTTTCAACCAAACAGTAACCATCTCTATCATTGGATTGGACTTGTACGACTTGTACAACTTTAAAATCTGCCATTGTCTTTAGTTTTGCTAATTATTTCACACATATCTGTTAATGTTCATCATTATATAATATATATTTAAAAACTATTATATATATTCTTTTCTTATCAGACATAGCAGTGAGTTGGTCTGAATTCACTTTTAAGCCATGATAGTATCATATCCTATTTGTCTGAAAATTGCTCAGTCATCGGACTGACATTTTTTGTTCAGTTTTTCAGACAATTCAATGTTTGCTTTGTTTAGCTCTGTGTTGTTTTCTGTTTTTGATTTGTGTCGATGGGGAAAAAAAATTAAATTCTGCCTATATATATATATATCCATTTGTAAGGCAAATAGGGTCGGTAGGTCCATGATTAAACAGATAACAGTTCTTGCAACTATAAGATACACCAATTCTGGCATCATCTCTGCAAACTTTCTGCTTCATAGGCATTATGGTGTCAGAAGAAACACCGATAATGTCAGTCAGTATCTGACTCACCAATAATGTAAGTCGGTATCTGACTCACGATAATGTCATTCACTATCTGACTCACTGTTAATGTCAGTCGCTATCTGACTCACTGTTAATGTCAGTCGCTATCTCACTCACCGATAATGTAAGTCGGTATCTGACTCACCGATAATGTCAGTCGGTATCTGACTCACCGATAATGTAAGTCGGTATCTGACTCACCGATAATGTCAGTCGGTATCTGACTCACCGATAATGTCAGTCGGTATCTGACTCACCGATAATGTCAGTCGGTATCTGACTCACCGATTATGTAAGTCGCTATCTGACTCACCGATAATGTAAGTCGGTATCTGACTCACCGATAATGTAAGTCGGTATCTGACTCACCAATAATGTAAGTCGGTATCTGACTCACCAATAATGTAAGTCGGTATCTTACTCACCAATAAAGTAAGTCGGTATCTGACTCACCGATAATGTAAGTAGGTATCTGACTCACCGATAATGTAAGTCGTTATCTTACTCACTGATAATGTAAGTCGCTATCTGACTCACCGATAATGTAAGTCGCTATCTGACTCACTGATAATGTCAGTAGCTATCTGACTCACCGATAATTTAAGTCGATATCTGACTCACCGTTAATGTAAGTCGCTATCTGACTCACCGATAATGTAAGTCGCTATCTGACTCACCGATAATGTCAGTCGCTATCTGACTCACCGTTAATGTCAGTCACTATCTGACTCACCGATAATGTAAGTCGCTATCTGACTCACTGATAATGTCAGTCAGTATCTGACTCACCAATAATGAAAGTCAGTATCTGACTCACCGATAATGTAAGTCGCTATCTGACTCACCGATAATGTAAGTCGGTATCTGACTTACCAATAATGTAAGTCGGTATCTGACTCACCAATAATGTAAGTCGGTATCTTACTCACCAATAAAGTAAGTCGCTATCTGACTCACCGATAATGTAAGTCGATATCTGACTCACCGTTAATGTAAGTCGCTATCTGACTCACCGATAATGTAAGTCGGTATCTGACTCACCAATAATGTCAGTCGCTATCTGACTCACCGTTAATGTCAGTCACTATCTGACTCACCCATAATGTAAGTCGCTATCTGACTCACTGATAATGTCAGTCAGTATCTGACTCACCAATAATGAAAGTCAGTATCTGACTCACCAATAATGTAAGTCGCTATCTGACTTACAAATAATGTAAGTCGGTATCTGACTCATCGATAATGTAAGTCGGTATCTGACTCACCAATAATGTCAAGCGCTATCTGACTCACCGTTAATGTCAGTCACTATCTGACTCACCGATAATGTAAGTCGCTATCTGACTCACTGATAATGTCAGTCAGTATCTGACTCACCAATAATGTAAGTCAGTATCTGACTCACCGATAATGTAAGTCGCTATCTGACTCACCGATAATGTAAGTTTGTATCTGACTCACCAATAATGTAAGTCGGTATCTGACTGATAAAGGCACCAGGGGGGTTCAGGAAAAGTGTCCCTGCAGCAAATGGAGCTGCTATAATCTGCAAAGGAAAAATGATACGGAGCTATGAACAAAGAGAAACATTCTTGACTGTGTATACAAGCTTACTCCTGCCCCCAAGACCCTGACACATGGGGATTAGTCTGCCAGTGAACACAATACATTGATAACCTGGAATATTATTGGAATATTGTTATTCATGTATGGTGTGGTGAAATCAACAAAATAGTGCTCTAGACAAGGTGTATGGGAGGTAACTGTGTAAGGGAGGTAACTGTGACAGCCAAAGGATGCTTTTGACAAGCTGGTTGGAAGAAGAAAGGCACATTGACGAAATTCAGCCCACAAACACCTATATAATTTACTACAACATTCAATGACTGAGCAGTATTTTTATGCAATATGCTCCTTTTATTATGTTTCTGCAGTTGCGTGGATCGATGCTCATGATATCAATCACTGGATTGACTGGACCAGACTCGATTATTTACAGACCACCGTCATATAGCTGGAATATTGCTGAGTGTGGCAGTAAACAACAAACAAACAAACAAAGTATGTCCCCCATGAATAGGTCTTTAGCAACCCATGCTTGTCATAAGAGGCGACTAACGGGATCAGGTGGTCAGGCTCGCTGACTTGGTTGATGCATGTCATCATATCCCAATTGCGTCGATCATATAGCTGGAATATTGTTGAGTATGGTGTTGATTTTTCATTTAATTCATGCAATCACTTCTGTTTCGAAAATGCTCATGGAAAATTGATGATCAGTTCTCTTTGTCGAAATCAATGAAAACATATTGAAAACAATATATTCAGTTAGGACTAACGAGCATACTTCAGTACCGTTGTCGACAAGTCACTGCCAGTGTTAGGTGTCAGCGGTAATGTCTCAGTTCTCAAAAACATACGAAAACTCAGCATCTATGTGTATAATGCACATCCCCCTCGACATGCTGTCTACACTGCTTTAGTCATCTTCCCGAGGCAAGAGAGTTAACTGCCTCCAAAAGTCCAGTTTCCACCCTTGACGAACTAGGCTGGTATTATAGAGTTAGATTTTGGCTGGACTAACAAGTCTATGCATAGTCCAATCAAAATCGACCAACGAAATTGAAATCCGGTTCGTAAACCATCGTGCAGATTTTAGGTCGATTGCAAGATTTGCAAAGCATGTGCATCACCAACTCGTTGACAACAGATATTTTCCAATTCTTTTCATGTTTTTAATCAAGGTGCTCACGTGATTTGATGCACTTCGCGATGTAAGACCTGTTTTATCACAATATAGACCTTGATTATCAATCAGATCGTCTTGACTGGGCGCCGCCATTTTGTTAGAAGCAAATGCAAGTGATACGAGAGGTGGAATCTGATTGGGCCATAAGACTGGGCGCCGCCATTTTGTTAGAAGCAAATGCAAGTGATACGAGAGGTGGAATCTGATTGGGCCAAAGGAGAGGCATAGAAGGGACATAACTCGTAATAGCCACTGGTGACGCTACGCTACAGCTGGGGAATTCCAGCCTAGTTCGGCAAGGGTGGAAACTGGACTTTTGGAGTCTTTTAACTCCCTTGCCTCAGGAAGATGTGCTTTAGTGGGTTGAGAAAATATGGTACTGAAATTATCTCCTCATCTCCATGCCCCTGTGGGTAATATGAAAATGTGACTAAGGCCATATACACTTTTTTAGTTGGTTTATGAAATTTTATAAAAGAAATAAAAAGCCTTTTGACCAAATTGTTTTTGGACAACTCTATTTTACAATGAGGTGAATGATATATTATCTCCCCTGTTCATAAGAAATAGTGAATAATATTATTGTGTAAAAATCTTTATTCTTAAAAAAAATAATCAATAATCTTTCGGTATCATTTCTCAATCTTACTTCCATGATGATATATATATAGAGGATATTTCATGTGTCAAGTGAAATATGTTTCTGTCATCAAGTGATGGGGGAAAAGGAGATATTTTCACTCATGGCGTACGAGTGAAAATATCTCCTTTACCCCCTGTCACTCGATGAGAGAAACATATTTCACTTGACACATGAAATATCCTATTCATTATTTACTTTTTGTGTTGTTTTCTCCCGGAAAATTAAATTATTAGATTACAAATGTTAAACCTTCCTAATTCTCCACATCTAACACAACACACAGGGACGGTTCACCACCCCTTGTATTTGCGACTTAAAAGTAGCATTTAGGGTTACAAAAATTCTTTGTCATAAATTTCAATATGTTTATATACAAAATCAACCTTAACAAAAAATATTCTTGAAAACCAGGAGACCGCTGTTGGAAGGAAAAGAATACACTCTGTTCAAGTAACAAAAATGGGGCTTTGCGAAATGAACAGTCTCGACTGACGAGTTAAATGAGAAATTAACAGTTTATAATGAAACATTTTCGAGGGAATAACAAACGACAAGAAGTGATATTAACTCCATAAATGACCATCTGTCATTATTGTGCCTTGTCAATATGGAACTAACCTAAAAAGGATGTCAACAGTTTGTGTACGGGCTTGACACTTACGACTAAGGGGGACAATTTAAGGGGAGTTAACTCTTGTATGACACTAGTTCCATCAAAGTGTTATGTTCACTGCAGTGAAATATCAAGTGTTATGTTCACTGCAGTGAAATATCAAGTGTTATGTTCACTGCAGTGAAATATCAAGTTTTATGTTCACTGCAATGAAACTATCACTTTTCTCAACTTCAGAAAACTCAGTCTTTCACACTGAAATATGTAATAATAACTATGAGTTTGTTTTTCATTCATAAGCATGATTAGTAGCAGAACTAATCTCGAAGGTAAAAATTAAATTATTTGGCCATTTTTGTGTAAACTTATTTTTAAACCAACTAATAAAACATGAAAGGCCTTACATACCTGGCTAGCCACAAGTATGAGAACCCTGGCGTACAGTCCCCGCTTCTTCACCACACGGTCGGAGATGAAGCCGCCCACGACGACGCCGATACTGCCGCTGACCAGTGGAATCCAGGACATGTAGGTCCCGATCTGCTCCTTCGTCTGACCAATCATGACAAAGTAGGGCTGAGTATTGTATGCCCACACATAGCCCGCTGTAATCAGAAAGAATCACGTGACCACGCGTGTCAGTCAGACTGTACTCACAGTCGCATCCAGGTACCTCCATCCTCAGTCATTTTGAGTGAGTATGGGATTACATCACTTTTAGCAATATTCCAACAATATCATAGCAAAGGACACTAGAAATGGGCTTTACTCTTGGCGGCTTGGGAGTCAAACCCAGATCTTCTGTATGACGAGGCAATGCTTAAGCCACTAGGCTACCCCAGTATGGGATTACATCACTTTTAGCAATATTCCAACAATATCATAGCAAAGGACACTAGAAATGGGCTTTACTCTTGGCGGCTTGGGAGTCAAACCCAGATCTTCTGTATGATGAGGCAATGCTTAAACCACTAGGCTACCCCACTGCCCCTCCTCAATTATAAAGTGTATTTTATTCCCATTTTGTGAGTGAGTGAGTTGGGTTTACCGCCGCTTTTAACAGTATTCCAGTTATATCACGGCATGTCAGCTTAATGTGGGAGGAAAGCCTGAAGTGATGCAGGTCTCAGACGTTTACCACTTCGGTGAAACCAAGGGGCACGGGTATGGTGCTGACAAACCTAGAAACATAATCGGGGTGAACTGGGATTCGAACCCACAATCATAGGTTTCTGGCGTGCCCAAGGGACGCAACTCTGCACAGCGAATCACGGCGCCTTAGACGACTGGGCCACCTGTGCCCCCACCCATTTTGTAGTGATAAATGCCCTGAACTCAGCTTTCTTTCGGAAGTGAGGCACAGAATTTCTCTCAGTCGTGAGCTTCAAATCAACAACCAGTTATCCTCCTGAACAAGCATTTGGCGTAGACTTACATTCAAAACGTCAGCCTCTTATAATATATTTATCAGAACACTGTCATAAATGAATGTTTAGATGGGAAAGATGTTTTCCTGAGTCTAAAACATGGGGCGATGCTATCATTCATTTCCCAGTTGTGTTTTAAAGACTTTAGGCAACAAGGCACATCAAGTACTGCAGTGCCCCAAATCATAAAAAAACAGTGTATTTTCAGCTTGACTAAAACATAGTAAAGGTGGCAAATATGGGTGGATGGAACAGTGAGCGCTGTTCCAAGGGCTATTGCCTGGTCTGGGCAACTGGAATTTATATTGTTAAGGATATGGATCAAATCAACACACTCCTAACAAGATGGGTGGGGCTCAACACTCACCCACATTGCATGCTGTCCACAGTTTAGTCGTACCTGCTTTCCTAATGGAGCCATATGATAATGGACAGACTGCGTGGATCCCTACCTGCTTTCCTAACGGAGCCATATGATAATGGACAGACTGCTTGGATCCCTACCTGCAGTCCTAATGGAGCCATATGAAGATGGACAGACTGCTTGGATCCCTACCTGCAGTCCTAATGGAGCCATACAATAAGGGACAGTCGGAGTGGATCCCTACCTGCATTCCTAATGGAGCCATATGATGATGGACAGACTGAGTGGATCCCTACCTGCATTCCTAATGGAGCCATACAATAAGGAACAGTCGGAGTGGATCCCTACCTGCATTCCTAATAGAGCCATATAATGATTGACAGACTGAGTAGATCCCTACCTGCATTCCTAATGGAGCCATATGATGATTGACAGATGGCGTGGATTCCTACCTGCATTCCTAATGGAGCCATATAATGAGGTCCAGATTGAGTCGATCCCTACCTGCATTCCTGATGGAGCCGGCCACACACAGCATGATCAGAGAAGGACTGAGGAATGGCTTGAGTGTTTTCCCAAGCTTCTGCAAAATGCTAGGTCTCTCTGACTGAATGAGGCCTCCCTGTTCATTCGCTGGCTGAACGACATGACGGGCTGGTTCCTTGAGGGTGATGATGATGAGCACCCCCAGGATGAGTCCCGGGATGCCGGAGATGTAGAATGCCCATCGCCACCCCTGAAACACAATACCACCTGGCATGACACACAATTGGGTGTCCTTACACTGAATGAAGACATGTCTCCAATAACACTATCATCTACACACGTAGAAACATAGAGGCCCAGAGCTTTACCCTGAATCCTTCTGGAATACAGTGTTCCATCAATATAGCGCCAACTCGGTTATAGCGCACAGTAAAGCATGGCTCCCAAAATTTACCTAAATTTTAATAAATCACGATGACACGATGTAGCGAGAGATCACTGTATCATCAACATCATAGAACAGGTTACTTTAAAACATTATAATGATGGTCATACTAGAAAATAACCTACAAATTTCGGGGAATTGTGAATTAAGCCTCCAATTGAGTGAACGAATGTTTTAAGGCCAGACATTTCTTCTTTCTTATTTTATTTCCTCAAAAATGTATGTTACGTAGGTAGGAATAAAGACGATGTGGGTGGTTGGAATAGGGAAAGTAGCAAGCTACGTCTTAGTTCGCATTAATGAAACTTCGCATTTATGTCTCCAAAATGACTATCAACAAAAAAGACGGCCTCACTGCACACTTTGGATAGCAGAAATACCAACAATATATACACAAACATGGTTTATTGAGCAGCAGTTGTAACAAGTCCATAGCAATGTCATTTAAAGAATGGCGAGTTATCACTGTTGTTTTTAGGAAAACACTGTTTATAGTTTTTACGGAAGTGCTCCACTCAGTGCTAATAAGCGGTGCTATTTGTTGTTTAATTGGATTAAGGTAAGGATATGTATGATTCCACTGGGGATTGGATGGGTGAGTGGCATTGATTTTGAGGCCCATTTTCAGCTGGGGGTCAGCAGTAATTTGGAGTAGGGCTTCCACGAGTCCAATTTTTTGGACTCGAGTACCCGAGGGGTGAAGGACGTCCTTTAAGAATATTGGTTCATTAGATCAAAATTGCCATCTAAAAGTATTAAAACATGTTATAAGTATAATTGAACTGCACTGAAATGTAAATAGAAAGCGTCCACTGAAATAGCACATATATACCAGCTAATTAGTAGTTAATCTGTGTAAGGGAATACACTTGGCATTTGAGTCGGAGCAAAGAAGCAATAATCTCCTTGATACATTCAATTTCTTAAAGTCGGGGAGGAAAAACAATAATTACGTCTATTTTATGTGACATTCTAAATTGTTCTAATGTATATCTACTTTCTACAAAGAATACATTATTCAAACAATATTTTTTTAAGCTTTAATCAATATATTGATGAACAATTGAACATTGAAACAGGGTGATCTCCCTTTATCGAGTACTCGAGTCCTTGATAACGAACTTGAGTCCCACTAAAACCGACCCGGCCTCGAGTACTCGAGTACTCGTTGAAGCCCTAATTTGGAGATTTCAAGATTTACAGTATTTTTCAGAAACATAAATTTAGAATTTTCTAAAAGCTTATTCATCGTAGAGTTAATACATAGATGCTATTGTTGAAACGTGTTTACTTTCTTGAAAACTACATATACTGTCTCGCACACAAGTGACTGGCAAACAGTTATTGATGTGTGTTTGAGTTCAGTACTGCACCTGTCCGTTGATGTTGGCCAGAGTAATGAAGTTGCCGATAGCGTAGGAGAGACTGTAGCCCATGTAGATGCCCCAGTTGTAGACGCCGAGAGCCAGGCCGCGAACTGACGCTGAGAAGTAGTCCGTCAGTAGAGACGCAGCAAAAGGGGTACACCCAGCCTCCCTGGACAACAGATCGCCATGGTTACACGGTCCTTATTACACAGAGTGACATCATACAAGAGGGAGATCACCTTCTAGTGCCGTGTGTAGTTTTGACCTAAATTCAATTTGAAACAGAAGCCGCCTAACCCTGCAAAATAGTTCCTACTGAACAATGGACACATTGTGAGGATAATTTGGTTTCTGACCTTCACATAACCCTGTTTATCTATGAACACACAATGCCATTTAGAAAGTGGTCAAATGTAACAAAGGCTATATTTGGGATAACAGTTTCTTAGTAAAATACAGATTCTAGTACTTTTGGGGTTGAGTCCCATCAGGGATTCGAACCCACACTGCCAGAGTGAGGCACCGAATTGCCAGCACACCAAGTCAGCCATCTTAATCCCTCAGTCATTCACTTGTGGAAGCCTCGGTGGCTGAGTGGGTTAGATGGCTGACTTTTTGTGCTGGCGATTAGGTGTCTTACTCTGGCAGTGTGGGTTATCATCACCACTTCCAATGACATCATCATCATCACTTTCAATGACATCATCATCACTTTCAATGACATCATCATCACTTTCATTGATATCATCACTTTCATTGATATCATCACTTTCAATGACGACATCATCATCATCATCACTTTCATTGACATCATCATCATCACTTTCATTGACATCATCACTTTCATTGACATCATCATCACTTTCAATGACATCATCACTTTCCTTGATATCATCACTTTCAATGACATCATCATCACTTTCAATGACATCATCATCACTTTCATTGATATCATCACTTTCATTGATATCATCACTTTCAATGACGACATCATCATCATCATCACTTTCAATGACATCATCATCATCATCATCCTCATAATCACTTTCATTAACATCAGCGCTTTCAATGACATCATCAAATTGATATCATCACTTTCAATGACATCCTCATCATCATCACTTTCATTAACATCAGCGCTTTCAATGACATCATCAAATTGATATCATCACTTTCAATGACATCATCATCATCATCACTTTCATTGACATCATCATCACTTTCATTGACATCATCATAATCATCATCACTACCATCATCATCATTTAGCCCCATATCACCATCTCCATGACAATCACCATCATCACTGTCATCGCCACAGTCATCCTTATATCATCACCATCATCATAAAGCTCACCCCATGCCCAGTCCAAAGCGGAGTATGACCAACTGCCAGTACTCATTGATGGCGCCCGTGAGGAGGGTCATCACGGACCAGAAGATGAGGCAGATAGCCAGGAGGATCTTCCTGTTGTACATGTCGGCGGCGAAGCCGATGAAGATGCCCATGAAGGTGTAGATGAGGATGAAGACGGGCCCCGCCACCAGCTGGTACTCGTAGCCCTGCCCGTTGTAGTCCCACTTGCACACCGCCGACCCGTTCTGACTGTGTATTGAGGTGCAGCTGGGGGACACAATGGAAGATCATATCATGGTGAGCAGGTTGAATGGTGGGTGAGGTGATGGGTGGGCAGGTGGACAGGTGAGCAGGTTGAATGGGTGAGTGGGTGGGCAGATGGGCGGTCGGGTGAGTGGATTGGTGGGCAGGTGGGGGGGTGAGTGAGCAGGTTGAATGGCCGAGTGGGTGAGTGCGTGAGTGGGTGAGTGAGTTGATGGGTGGTCAGGTGGACAGGTGAGCAGGTTGAATGGGTGAGTGGGTGGGCAGATGGGCGGTCGGGTGAGTGGATGGGTGGGCAGGTGGGGGGGGGTGAGTGAGCAGGTTAAATGGCCGAGTGGTTGAGTGCGTGAGTGGGTGAGCAGGTTGAGTGGGTGAGTGAGTTGATGGGTGGGCAGGTGGACAGGTGAGCAGGTTGAGTGGGTGATTGGGTGGGCAGATGGGTGGGTGGGTGAGTGAGCAGGTTAAATGGCTGAGTGGGTGAGCAGGTTGAGTAGATTGGTGGTTGAGTGGATGGTTGAGCAGGTGGACAGGTGAGTGGATGGTTGAGCAGGTGGTCAGGTGAGTGGATGGTTGAGCAGGTGGACAGGTGAGTGGATGGTTGAGCAGGTGGACAGGTGAGTGGATGGTTGAGCAGGTGGTCAGGTGAGTGGATGGTTGAGCAGGTGGACAGGTGAGTGGATGGTTGAGCAGGTGGACAGATGAGTGGATGGTTGAGTGGATGGTTGAGCAGGTGGACAGGTGAGTGGATGGTTGAGCAGGTGGACAGGTGAGTGGATGGTGGAGCAGGTGGACAGGTGAGTGGATGGTTGAGCAGGTGGACAGGTGAGTGGATGGTGGACAGGTGAGTGGATGGTTGAGCAGGTGGACAGGTGAGTGGATGGTGGAGCAGGTGGACAGGTGAGTGGATGGTTGAGCAGGTGGACAGGTGAGTGGATTGTGGAGCAGGTGGACAGGTGAGTGGATGGTGGAGCAGGTGGACAGGTGAGTGGATGGTGGACAGGTGAGTGGATGGTTGAGCAGGTGGACAGGTGAGTGGATGGTTGAGCAGGTGGACAGGTGAGTGGATGGTGGACAGGTGAGTGGATGGTGGAGCAGGTGGACAGGTGAGTGGATGGTGGAGCAGGTGGACAGGTGAGTGGATGGTTGAGCAGGTGGACAGGTGGATGGTTGAGCAGGTGGACAGGTGAGTGGATGGTTGGGCAGGTGAGTGGATGGTTGGGCAGGTGAGTGGATGGTTGAGCAGGTGAGTGGATGGGTGGGTGGATGGGTGGGTGGATGGCTGAGCAAGTGGGCAGGTGGTTGATGAGTGGATGGTTAATCTGTAAGTAGGTGGGTGGGTGGGTGGATGGTTTAATCAGGTAGGTTGTTGATCCGGTGGGTGGATGAGCGAGTGGGCTTGACAAGTAAATTAGCAGGTAGGTGGCAAAGCTGTTAGCTGAGTGGCGTGTGGCTGAGCAACCAAGTTTGTTGTTGGTGAGAGGGTAGGTAGAGTATCGATCTGCAACAACTTGACTATCAAATATCCAAATGAGAAATTAATTTATTATACAAATATCAAAAACAGAATGAAACATATCGTGAACCATATTGTTGATATTAATATCGCAATCCACATCTGTGAATTCTTTCATTCTTAGAACTTTAAAACAAGAAACTAAATCGCTCTGTCCAAACAAAAACTCACTCTCCAGATGTGGTTCCATTGCACTTGACCCCAACAACTGCAGCGGTCGTAAACGTTGTGTTGACCATGCAGGCCTGGTCACCGTAGCGTATCTCCTGTGCCATGGGCTTGGCCGTGATGGCCAGCATGTAGCGGTCAAGCTGGTTGAGGAGGTACGCCAGGAGCACCAACACCAGGACATACATGCTGTAGGGCCGCACATCCTTCCACCACCGATGACCTACACACAGGGGAGGTAACCCCATGAACAGTCTTACAAACTGAGGTCCTTGAGTTTGGCTGCTACGGTACAGTCAGTACTAGAAGGACCCTAGTTGTCCCTAAGTCCATCATTTTTAACTTTAGGCACATCATTGTAACTGATGACGTCATAATGGCCTGCAAAGCATTGTGATGCAATTCATTGTACTGATTTATCCTAAGATGTTTAAACAGGTTAGGAATTTTAATCAAACCGTAACAAGTTTTCTGATTAATCTTGACAGGTCTGTCATATTCTGTTTTCCAAAGAGAATGAAAAAAATCCCACTCAAACACCATTTAGAAGAATCAAGTGGATTAGGAAAACAGTGGCTTCAGACCTCATGTACATACCAGTAGTTAATTTTCAACAATTTTACATGTCACCTTTATAAATGTGTATTAAGTTGTATCAGGTCTTCAACACATGATCTATCATTACCATACTTGGAAGCACAGTGCAGCAAGATGAAGCGACAGTTCAGTGAATCGTGACATCTCTAATCGTTACATCTCTAATCATTACACACCGAATCATCAACAGGATGACAGGTTCTATGTTAACCCCACTCATAATGCATGCAGGGTTTAAATTTCTTGTATTAAAGTGGCAGTGACACGATTACAACCTTACAGGCAGAGTTACACAAATTCCTGGTGCCTGAAGGGCCCACTCAGAAATCACATCTTTTTTATAAAAATACCCTGTGACGATGTACATGATACGCTATCTCCCATGAAGCCAACACTACAAAATGGCGGCCACTGAACATGATAATTTTCAAAACAATTTATGCCGCACTCAGCAATATGCAAGCTATATGGCAGTGGTCTGTAAATAATTGAGTCTGGACCAGACAATCCAGTGATTGACATCATGAGCATCAATTAAGCAATAAGGATATATGACATGCATCAACCAAGTCAGCGAGCCTGACCACTTGATCCCGTTAGTCGGCTCTTACGACAAGCATAGTCGCCTTTTACGGCAAGCATGGGTTGCTGAAGATCAATTCTAATCCTGATCTTCACAGGTAACTGACCATGCTGCAGCAGAGTAATACTTACTTCAGTATTACGTAGAAAATAGGATAAAATACTTTAGCTCCGAATATTTAAGAAATAAATGACGATAGGAGTGTTTATCGTACAGCAAAACACCACAGGGAGAATAAACTATGAGGGGCAATGCATGTATCGCAATATATTGCAATCAAACATTTTGGCCAATACACGACCATACTCAAATTTATTCTTTTCGGGGGCACATTTAAACTCCAAAGGGCAACTCTACACACCTTCAGCATGTGCCCTATAGCACACTTATGAAATACAGTTCCCTATCACTGGCATTAAATACATACCTTCATCCATCGTGCAGCAAACTGGTGACTACGACTTGTACGACTTGTGTGTGCAACAGCTGGGAGACCGGGCTACTGCCTGCTGGCAAACAGTGAACAAGTTCAGAATTACCGCAAACAAAAAACAACAAAATTAATTAGTAAGGCAGCTGTATGCACTATATCCTATCAGGTGGAACTAAAATAATAAGTTTATCTACAGTGAATGAATCATGGTTGACTTATGCTATTTGGTTTGAGCACTGAGACTTATCAAGGATTCCAAACTCAGTATCATTGGCATGTAAATAATTATTTTGCATTGGTTTTTATATTTATATTTATAGTTTATAGTTTTCTACATTCAGAGGTATTAACATTGAGTTTTAACATTGCATAAAAAGCAACGTGAAACACATCTTCCCGAGGCAAGAGAGTTAACTGGCTTTAAAAGTCCAGTTTCCACCCTTGCCGAACTTGGCTGGAATTCCTGGGCTCAATCGTAGCGCCACCATTACGAGTAATGTCCCTTCTATGCCTCTCCTATGGACCAATCAGATTCCACCTCTCGTATCACTTGCATTTGCTCCTAACAAAATGGCGGCGCCCGGTCAAGACAATCTGATTGATAATCAAGATCTATATTGTGATAAAACGGGTCTTACATCGCCAAGTGCATCAAATCACGTGAGCACCTTGATTAAAAACATGAAAAGATTTGGAAAATATCTGTTGACAACGAGTTAGCGGTGCACATGCTTTGCAAATCCTGCAATCGATCGAAATCTGCATGACAGTTTACGAACCGGATTTCGATTTCATTGCGCGATTGTGATTGGACTATGCATAGACTTGTTAGTCCGGCCAAAATCAAACTCCATAATACCAGCCTAGTTCGGCAAGGGTGGAAACTTTTATAGTCAGTTATCTCCCTTGCCTCGGGAAGATGTGTGAAACAAATCATTAAAACCTCTTCCTCAATATTGGTCCTATTATCAGTGAAATATGAGTCACCTCAGAGAGCCATAACAGTAAGTTACAATGGTTACAGGAAGACTTCTAAAGTGATGCATCTGGACAGTGGCAAGTCTTTGTTCATCAAATTATATTTGCAATAAAATAATTTCCAAAATATTTAATCAAGATATTCAAAGGAATTATTTCGAAATTAGTAAAAGAAAACCCTCGCTCTAACATACATCAGGATTAAATACTTAAATATGAGGGATCTTAAACAATCTATATTCTGGCTTATTAAACTTGTAAGGGACTATGTTAATCCATCACTATTTCTTCCATTTAATACAAACTATACCAAAGCTGTATCTCTGTATATTCAGTGTATGTATATTCAGTATATGTATATACAGTATATGTACTTGAGTACATAATTAAGGCTTCACCAGTAGGGCTGGGACGTGTCCAAATTTAGTACCCGGGTACCCACCCCCCTGTTACACAACCCTCCCCGGGTACCCACTGTAGGTCTCAGGAGATAGGTACATAATGTCCGATTGGGAACATTTTTAGAATAGCCCTGGCAGAACGTATTTAGATACATGTATTAAACAATCTGGTCATTCATACACTGAAGTTGAATTAAGTTATATCTGTATTCAGCCACATGAAAAATCAGAAGGAAAGGGTGCATAGTCGGAAAAAATGCGAACATTAGTGACTTGTAGTGTAACCATAGAGTTCCAGATAATTTTTGTCATGAAACAATATATCACGTGACTAACCACGGGTCCAGGTAGCCCTGTGGGTACCCGGGTCCCACTCAGTACCCACCCGACCCTAACCCGAGTTACCCGTCCCAGCCCTATACACTAGGCAAACCAGTAATGATCCACATCGTCGGGGTACGATGGCATGCAATCAACATTTTCACCAAACCTCACCACCCCACGCATAACAACAAGCAAAGACGGAAAGGCCGTGGTTGCTGTATCTCTTCACACACGATTTCACCTAACTTATGAAAACAATATTAAATGAAATTTTGAATAAAATTAATAAAATATATTACACACACAAGTCCAGATATACAATGAACATGTTTTAATAACAAGATAGTATAATAATGGTATTGAATTGCGTACTTCAGTTCGGATTTGCTGACTGGTATTACCGGTGTTATGTGCTTGCTGTGATCAGCCGATGATGTTTTTTGAGATCGGGAAAAACATCTGTCAGTGTAAAACTTGAGTTTATTAAAAATGTAAGTATATGGTTTTGGGAGCCATGCGTTTCCGCGCACTATAACCAAGTTAGCGGTTTATTGAAAGGCACAATAGCGAAGAAACGTTGTACTTGAGATTGCGTTCCATATTGTGGCGTATCGACAAATGGGCTCACGTTTATCGTATCGTGGGTCAAGTATCGCTATGCATCTGAACATTGGTGGTGTATCGTTTCACCCTTACCAAAAATGGCAAAAAATAAGTAAAAAGCTAGATTTTTAGAACTTTAAATTTTTTTATCTAAGTATGAGCAATTCCAGGAAGCAAGATGAATTTTTTACCAGATGGAAATAATGTTTTAACATACATTTATTAAAATCAACATGGAAAAACACTTCATAAATACCTAAAAAATAAGTCTTTTTGACACATTTTATTTTTACCTATGCTTTTAATGTTGTCATAAGTCCCAAACATACAATTGTTGAAATGAACAAAGTCTAGTTCTCATTCATATGAACATATCTAATTTTCATAACTATTTTTAAATTGTTTACTCAGTTTATAAATTAGACAGATCCTGTGGGCCAAAGTGGGCTAATCATACTTTGTCCTTTAAAAAAATCTTTAGGGCATTTTGGATGACAATCAGCATCCCCAGGCAGTGTCCAAAGAGGACCGTTTGACACTACAGGAAACACATTAAATCGTCAGGGCTCTGTTCCACAAAGCGATCGAGCACTAAGATGATCGTAACTCCCATACTTTAATATGGATTACGACAGTCTAGACTTAAATCCTCATTTGAGTCAGCTCTAAGGTCAAGCTTAGGTTACCGTTACCATAGTTACTCAGGACCTATTCTGACCCAGGATGTTGCTGAATGGGTACAAAGGTATATGTAGTGCATCGAGGTCAACACCAGTGATGTATCCCAATACGAAGCCCATTTACAACCCCCGTATCACGTTACATACGATGCATGACATTACAAGTCATTGGTGTAAAAACACATGCATAATATTAATAACAGATTTTAAATATTAAGTGGAACTGTTCAACAAAGAGCTGACGTAGATTATCTTACAAGTATTTCCTGGTTGGCTATAAAAGCATAAAAGCATCTCTATATTGACTTGTCGCTACACAGAGCTATGTGTGTGGGTGGATGGGTGGGTGGGGTGACGAGTGCTGTGGGTATGTTTTCAACTTGTTAAGATAAATTGTTTTAAAGGTTTTAAATATATATACTTTAACTCATAATATATCGCAATATGCATCACAATATATTGCAATACACAGCCCTACTCTCCGACCTGTCCTTTTTCAGGTATGAGAATTGAGACTTCACCAAAAACAAATAACATGTAAATATTTGTTTAAGCCTTACGATAACAATGGATGGTTAGAGGGATTTATTTATTTATCTAGCAGTACAAACCGTATGTATGTGCCGCTCCCTATAAACAAGATTGATATTGACTTGTCGCTACACAGAGCTATGTGTGTGTATGTGTGTGGGGTGTTGAGTGCTGTGGGTATGTTTTCAACTTGTTAAGATAAATTGTTTTAAAGGTTTTAAATATATATACTTTAACTCATAATATATCGCAATATGCATCACAATATATCGCAATATGTATCACAATATATTGCAATACACAGCCCTACACTCCGACCTGTCCTTTTTCTAAATGCTTTTTTCAAGCTAAGGGGCCGATTTTGTGTTGAGATTACATACTTTTTCAGCTACAGCGGCAAAATCAGACATTTTTTGAATTTATAACCATGAGCCTGAATACATTTTTAAGAAAAACACCTATACATGGCACTGCAGGCAATTTGGGGTTTTCTCCACACTCTGAAGCATAATAACTTTTTTCAAGAATTTTCTGGGACAATTAAATCCCAGCCACCCCCAGAATATCAAAAGGTGGGACCTTTAGTATAGGGGTGATTATAAACATGATAAAAATTACCTGTAGATTAGGCTTGAAATTGGTCAGGGTGAGGTGAAATTGGGCTTAACGTCGCGTCCAAGATTATTGCACTTATATAGCAACGTGCATGCACATGTGTGTGTGTGTGTGTGTGTGTGTGTGTGTGTGTGGCTGGCTACTTGTACTAGTCCAGACTGATGCCGATTTATAGTGCTAGCTCACTGAGATACCATGCCGCAGTTTAACATGAATACCCCACTCAGGCACAGTATACTCACTCCGAACCCCGAACCTTCCGCTCTCCGGGTGGACACTCTACCACTAGACCACGGAGGCGGTCGAAATTGGTCAGGGGGTATTCCTCGTTATATTTTTACTTTAAAATATTTCTAAAACACTTTCAGATCACTCTAATATTTCAGATCACTCATAACATCTTATCGTTTTTTTCTAATTCGACCACATGTTTTGGGGTAAAATGAAAAACGTACCATTACCAGTATAAAAACAGTGCATAGAAATGAGGCCCTATGATAAACTTGTTGGACATTTATCTATGCGATGTCTGAAGCTAGATGACAGAGTCAATCTGACATGTGGACTGAGTAACACAACAAAGTCACCCATTCCTTTGTGTTTGTGGCTGCATCTTGCTTGAACAAGACTTCATGCATCACAGATTCTAGAACAAACTACTGCTGCACAACTCACAAGAGTATTGTGTCTGGATCACTGACCTTGTCCCTCCATGAAATCCTGAGGAAATCGAGGCCATACATATACTTCATACGCCTTTCTTTGAAAATAAGTACTGGGTAGCTTTTTCTTGAATTTGACTGTGTGATTCCGGAAAACAGTAAGGGGTGTTATATAGCTGTAGTAAATGGTTAAATAATACCATTTACTAAATACAGTGAAAGTATAATCATTATTAATCAAATTTTCACTTGCTAATTATTTCATATTACTTACTTGAAAGTTATGATTTAAGTAATTTCATATTAAATGCCAAGAAATTCAACTATGTGTCACTTTAAGGTAGTCTATTTGAAGCTCTCTGCATCCTTCTACATGTGCTTTTCTACGCATTATTGTACAGCTCACGTAATAACATTTTTCACACTGTCAATGGCCAAGGGTGGGTAACCTCACCAGAAGATATTGCGTACATCTTTGGTTTTTTTTCTCTGCTTAGTATTACATGACAGGGTGGGTTTATATTGGTGGTCAGACGCTCTGACTCGGTTGATAGCGTTGCTCATAATATCAATCACTTGGCCCAGACATGATTATTTACACGGAGCCATAATAAAACATACATTTAATAACACAACTGCACTCACTTTTATCTATGTGATCGCACAATACCAAGCAATTGTCACCATTACCGATGGAACCCCCAAAGTGTCTACATTTCCTTATTATTTCCAAGACAAAACTGTATTTCATTTTGTTCATCAATGTGACGACATGCGCTTATACTATCAATAAAAGCTACAAATGTGCTTATGGTTGGCGCAGCACAGGTCGCAAACTAGTCAAGTTTTCGGGAATATCATCCTGGTACCCATGGGCAAAAAACAATAACAATGGGTGAACCAGACCCACTGAATTGTCAGAGATCCGTGCCCCTTTAAACTAGCAAACACATTAAGATAAGTAGTAAAACATTTGGAAAATTGTTAGTAATTGCGGTATAGATTTAGCTGTAAATGAGTTAAAATAATAACATAACTTAATTTAATATACCATAAACTTACGAAATCATCAATCTTATTTGACAGATTTGTGTTGATTATAGGATAAAAAAACATGTATATAGGCCCCTATGTAAGGGAGCATTCAAAAAGTTCGATATCGGATAAAAATATTAATTCATTTAATTTTGTGACCCCATGTTAACCTCATCTTCCATTCCCAAACTTAAGAAATCTAGAATTTTATCCGACAGCACACTTTTCAACAAAGTCTATTCCGTAACAACATTAATACTAATAATAGATACACGTTATATAACCTGCGTTCTACATGTGACGTTCGTTACATAAACTGAAAGTAGAACATATTAATACTATTCGTGACATCAGCTCCAAGACCTGAGTATGCTGAATCGACACACATGGATTTAACGCATGTTATATGTTACTGTCAGAGCAATGAGGAAGTCAAACACGTACTTACTGATCTTGCGCCTGACTACAATGAGCCACCATGTTGAACATCACGTGAGTTCACATGTGATCAATCACATGACTAACGCTTGGATGACCTCAAGCTCCTTCCCAGCGCGCGACACATTCGCCCTTCTGGTAGCATGGGCTATCGCTGTGAGGAGCTTGGCGTGTCCTGTCTTGTCACATGACGATCACTCAAAAACACACAGATGTCTAGTAAGTGCCTTTATCAGGCACACAACTCTAAATCACCGTAATATCAGTGAAACTTAAAGAGAGTAAGACTTAAAGAGAGAATTGATAACTGAGCGTGTGTGTCACAATGCTTTCACGAAACAAATGACATAATTCTTGTATTTCCCGAGAAAGAGCGAGGTTGACCATAGGCACTTTATACTCATGGTTCATGGTATGACATATATGCGAGTGTAATAATTTATTTATTGCCCTCATTTGTTTCCCGCTAAAGCTCCCCTTCAGAAAAATGCAATGATTACGACCGTCGTCTTAGAAAACCACAACTTACGAATGACGTCAATAATGTTCAGTTGTGACGTCGTTTTTCTTGTGACGTCATTCCGACCTTACGTCGCAATGAGATTCGAATGACGTCAACAAACTCGTCTGGTGCGCGGAGAAGTGATATTTGCACCAGTGCACATACACAGTTTATGAACTCCTTTATTTCTAACCATCTGGATAATAAACAATGTTATATTAATTACGTGATAAATGCAAGTATTTCCCAGAATTTGATTGAGTAGGTAGAATTTTGCAATAGCAATATTTCGCGCACATGTAAGTCATCCCCAATAAACCTATTTCTACTGCATGTGGTGATTCGTTATAAGGACAAAAACTAACAATATATTTTCATTTTCACTGTTTAGGAGATCGATTCTCAACCATTTTGTAACACTATTCGGGATATCGCTAATTACTGTAAAGTTTTGGCTTCCATTGTCTATTGCTTATCACCTATCAGCGCCAATCATCTGTTGGCGTCCCTTGTTAGTTTCAACCCTTTGTTATTTTCAACCTTTTGTTATCTTATTATATAATAATAATAATATAGTTTATTACAGTGTCATGTGTTACAAAGCAATACAACATTTAGCACATACTTAAAATACAAACACCAGGCCTCAGTGGGCCGAAATGACACCTTAAGGTATTACAAATATTAAAATACAATTAGATATAAAAAGTAATCATGCACATTCTTAATATCTACATATACACATATTCACTAACACAATCACATAATGCATTCATGCATACACACATATATACATACGCACTCACTCACGCACGCACGCACACAATCAATCATTCTGATATTCTCCCGCACATACTAAACAGACACGCAAACACATTCAGATATCCCCCACCCCGTCACTCGAGACATACAGGCACGCACACATACACACACACACACACACACTCAACCTCACTCACAAATACACCCATACCCAAATTCATGCATCTACACACACTCCATATCCTTTCTTCTGACCGTACCAACATTCATATCCCCTCCCCACACACACCCATAACCCATAATCTCACACACTCAATTACACTTTTCATATAAAATTCATATTCAATAGTTAAGTTATTGTACACCTTGCAGCCTTTTGTGATACATTTTCTGAACACATCTCGACAATTCTAGCTGGATACGTTCAGTGTTCATCAACCACTTATATTTATCTAACGTGGACAGTTCACAGAAACTACTGAACTGATTATTGCATGTATCAAATATACATTTCCTTAAAACATTGTAGAATTTGCACACCACAACAACGTGTACTTCATCTTCGATTAACTGTTCCTGACATAGTTGACAAAGTCTATTTACCAAGGGAGTCACAGGCTTGGTATACCTGCCACTTTCTATAGCTAGAGGAAGGTTTCCACAATGTAATGAGGCTAATATACTTCTTTGTTGTCTGGGTAGAGACATTTTCACATAGTGAGAAGTTTGGATAGTTTCTTTATATTTTCTATATGTTCGTAATTTATTTCCATTGCAATTACCTTTGTCATTAAATATATCCGAGAACCACTTTTGTATGTCTCTTGTATCTAACACTTCAAGGCATGCTTTGAGAAATGAGACACGTTTAGCCTTGACACAAAAATCTAAAACGTCCATATTTCCATGAATATCTATTTTTTTCACAAATTCACACACCCTATAACCCCAGGAGGATTTTCTTTTAAATGACCATTTATGGACTATGGCACACACAGATGTTTCACAGGAGGTGATGATTTTATGGAAACTTCGAAGAACTTCAATTTTAATTTTAGTATCTTGGCTTCTCCACCCCATCTCTCCCCCTCTTATTAATAGTGTTGTCCTTACATGTACATATATATGCTCTCTGCCTCATGGCATTCATTCACCTGATGAAGGAGTAAGTATATTCTCCGAAATGTTGTGTTAAAGAAGTTGACGTCCATATATTCTCCTCCTTATGTGTATCACTTCTAATAAAATGCCTTTCAAAATCTTACATTCCTCCAGCAGGTGTGAGTACAAACATGTCAAGTTGACCAGTTTTCTTTCAATTCGATGAAAATTGCACACTGAGCCTTTGCTACACGTGGTATTGTAAGAATGGTCTTTTGTTATGTTTTTATTATTTCACTATTTTCATTGTTCTGTTTTAAATTCCCCTATGTATGTATTGTTTTAGTGATCAGTAAGACAATTGTAGTCTCAGCTCTCTTTCCTGAATCAAAAGCTAATCTCAGTCTCTAAAAAATGAACACGAATGAACATGACGACATGAAATCACCAACCGTCTATTAGCCTACACAAACAAAATTGCAGATCCTAACGTCATTGAACGAAAAACAAAAAGCGTTTTCTCTTTGCTGGTAGGGGGACAAGGGTGGCCCAGTCGTCTAAGGCGCCGCGAATCGCTGTGCAGAGTTGCGTCTCTTGGGCACGCCAGAAACCTATGATTGTGGGTTCGAATCCCGGTTCGCCCCAATTATGTTTCTAGGTTTGTCAGCACCATACCCGTGCTTGTGGGTTTCACCGAAGTGGTAAACGTCTGAGGCCTGCATCACTTCGGGCTTTCCTCCCACATTAAGCTGACACGCCGCGATATGAGTGGAATACTGTTAACTCAATCACTCTTTCGTGAATCAAAAGCTAATCTCAGCCTCTAAAAATGAACACGAATGAACACGACGACATGAAATCACCAACCGTCTATTAGCCTACACAAACAAAATTGCAGATCCCAACGTCATTGAACGAAAAACCAAAGCGTTTTCTCTTTGCTGGTAACATATAAAATAGACGTTATAGACTTGCGCTAGATTAATAATTTGTAAATCTAATGTTAATTAGATGTTATATCCATTGCAGAATGTGACCCGTGAAGATCCGGGGTAAAATAGGTTTGAGCAACCCATGCTTGCCGTAAAAGATGACTATGGTTGTCGTAAGAGGCGACTAACGGGATCGGGTGGTCAGGATCGCTTACTTGGTTGATGCATGTCATCGATCCCATTTGCGTGGATCGATGCTCATGTTATTAATCACTGGTTTGTCTGGTCCAGACTCGATTTTTTAACAGACCGCGGTTATATAGCTGGACTATTCCTGAGTGTGGCGTTAACCAACCAACCAACCAACCATTGCAGAATGTTTGAAATACGAACCCTATCCTGTTACGATAATATATTCCATTTTTCTGAGGGGATTTATAATGTGTATTAGTACATACACTATTAGTTATCAATTATCTTGTACAATCACAGGATGTTACATGGGCATTATACACACGGAATATACTGTTCCAGCAAAACCAATCATAGCGCCGTCATCACAGTTTCAATGAAAAGACCAACAAATCGATATAGAACTTTACAGCATATCGTAAGCGGATAACTCACATACACGAATGCATAGTTGTCATCATTTAGAACTGAAGTTGATGTTTTCAGTGGTTGTATTATTTTTGTATCGCATGCATCATCGACAGAAACAGAACAGGTCTTCAGCAACCAATGCTTGCCCCTAAGAGGCGACTAACGGGATCGGATGGTCAGGATCGCTGACTTGGTTGACCCACGTCATCGTATCCCAATCGCTTGGGTCGATGCTCATGATGTCAATCACGTGATTGTCTGGTCCAGACTCGATTATTTACAGACTGCCGTCATATAGCTGGAATATTGCTGAGTGCGACGTTAAACAACGAACAAACAAACAAATAATCAACATTTTGAACAAAACTGACCGAATATAATGCAATGGCCATAACCTTTCTTTTCAATCGTACCCCAATTGCGTAGATCGATGCTCATGATGTTTAGCAGTACTTAAAGGTGTCAAATACTGGATTGTCTGGTCAACACCCGATTATTTACAGGCCGCCGTCATATAGATGGACTATTGTTGAGTGCAGTGTTAAACTACAAATGAAACTAAAAAGAACACTAGACAGCGAACCATCATGTCATGGATAGTGCTATGGTTGCCATACACCAATCTGATAAACTTGGAGGTACCGGTAAGGGTAAATTTGGTTTAACGTCGCGTCAAAGATTATTGCACTTATATACGACGTGCATGCACGTGTGTGCGTGTGTCTGTGTGTGTGTGTGGTTGCTTGTACTAGTCCGGACTGATGCCGATATATAGTGCTAGCTCACCGAGATACCATGCCGCAGTTTAACATGAATACCCCACTCAGACACAGTATATTGACTCCGAGCCGACCAGTCCTTGTTTTAGCCTCTTAATGCCGAGTGCAGACAGGGTAACAACAAGTACCATGTTTGAACGTCTTTTGATATGACGCGGCCGAGGATCGAACCCCTGACCTTCCGCTCTCCGGGCGGACGCTCTACCACTTGATAAACTTGGAAGCAGAATCTGATAATTTATAAAAGGTATACTACTTTTAAGATCCGTTAATCAATGCAATGTCTGCTCGCTCCATAAAGCATTGACTAACGTTCCCAGTAAGTTGGTTTCTCTGCTGTCTCTAGGAAGATTCATTTGGAAACTATTTTTACGGAATGTATACTGTATACTCCCCAGGGAGCTGAGAATGAAATTGAGTGCTCACTGATCCATTGACCGGGGTGATAATAGTGTAGCGCTATGAGCATCCACTTGGTGAATGGAATCTGGCGCATTATAAATGCACTTATTATTATTACTATTATTATTAGTATTATTATTATTATAAATGTTTTTGTGTGAACATTTTATGTGTGCTTCCGTTAGCTTTGTCTGATGCGACTCACAAACATCACTTTAAATGCAAAAGTAAACAGTGTGCGTCAGCCAGTGTACTGACAACTGACAGTTTAGTTAGTGAAAACGTATCACCCAACACCTGGCAGGTCCCATGAGGAAACTGTAGGTGGCACCTGGTGTACAGGGCACTGGTCGCAAATGAGGTGAAGTAAAGCAAGGTTGGTCGGAGAGAGCACTTGGTAGAACTGTGGCCGGACTCCTGAGTGTTTCTAGGGATTTAGTCCTGCTCCACGTGTTATATATGTTGTCTCTTTGGGCAAGTGACCTGTTCACCCAGCAGTGAATGGGTACCTAGTTGGATGAGATGGCACTGTAACTGTTACCTGGTGCCTCACTGGCAGCTGGTGTGGTATAGCCATGTTTGTCCTAGGCTCAATAGACCGCCTCCGTGGTCTAGTGGTAGAGCGTCCGCTCGGAGAGCGGAAGGTCCGGGGTTTGATCCCCAGCCGCGTCATACCAAAACACGATAATAGATGGTACTTGTTGTTACCCTGTCGGCATTAAGGGGCTAAAACAAGGACTGGTCGGCTCGGAGTCAGTATACTGTGTCTGGGGTATTCATGTGAAACTGCGGCAGGGTATCTCAGTGAGTTAGCACTATAAATCGGCATCAGTCCGGACTAGTACAAGCAGCCACACAAACACACACACGTGCATGCACGTCGCTATATAAGTGCAATAATCTTTGACGCGACGTTAAACCCCATTTCACGCCACCTCACTAGGCTCAATAGATCGGGTGGCCAGGCTATATATCACTGTACACCTTTTACTTGGATTAATGCTCAAGATCACTGGATTGTCCGGTAAATCTGAGTCTTCTATATGTATACATTGCAAATCTCGTAGGTCTCCCACACCCTAGAAAAAAATATTAAAAAGCAATCCAACTCAAGTCTAGAAAAAATTGCAAATCTCGTAGGTCTCCCACACCCTAGAAAAAAATATTAAAAAGCAATCCAACTCAAGTCTAGAATGCTTTGGCAAGTCTAGATTGCCTCAGCTCAAGGTTTGTTCTTGGGTTTAACGTTGTGTCAAAGATAATTGTTCTTATATAGCGACGTGCATGCACGTGTGTGTGTGGCTGCTTGTATAAGTCTGGACCAATGCCGATATATAGTGCTATCCAACTGAGACACCTTGCTGCAGTTTAACATGAATACCCCACTCAGACACAGTATACTGACTCCGAGCCTACCAATCCTTGTTTTATCCCCTTAATGCCGAGTGCCAGGCAGGTTAACAACAAGTACCTTTTTTAATATATTTTGGTATGACACAGTCAGGGATGGAACCCCTGACCTTCCGCTCTCTGGGCAGAAGCTCTACCACTAGACACAAAGGCGGTCTGTTTTAAATAAGATAACTTCATTTCTAGGACAAACTGTCAATCTAACTGCAAAAATTAACATTAAAAATGCAAGCATGACAGTATTGTGAAAGCTGCAAGTGTTGGCTCCCAATAAAAAAGGGACACAGTATAATCTAGACACACTGTTTATTGTCATGTCAAGTTCACGGAAGGTTCAGCCATGTCAAATAATCTTACAATGATGAGCAAGACACCTCTCATCTCCATCAACTGACACTCAATCGTTCATCTACATACGGATGATCATACAGAAACAACACTTGGAACCATTAAACCTCTGTGGGTTGACCTGACAGGTCCCACTAGTGATGTCAGGAACCATTCGTGACCAAATCGTGTTATTCCGGGACAAGATTACGGAAAGGGGCGAGTGGTGACGAATGGTCAGGAACATCAGACGGCATGTCAAGTTAGCTGTGATAAGAAACCAGCTATTATTCAATCAAGCTTCTGTGGTTGGGATATTGTTTAAAAGCGGAATATTTTTCAATCCCTGCTTCAAGACATAAAAAAGGGAAAAACAAATTGTAAGAAGGTACAAGTGAGTGAGTTGGGTTTAACGCTGCTTTGAACAGTATTCCAGATATATCATGGCCTGTCAGCTTAACGTGGGACGAAAGGCTGACGTAATGCAGATCTTAGATGATTAGCACTTTGGTGAAACCCACAAGCACGGAAATGGTGTTGACAGACCTAGAAACATTATCAGGTGAACCAGGATTCACTTCCACAGTCATGTGACACCTTCGTTACACTCTCGGTAAGTCTAGAATAGAGAGCTCCACGAATGGGCTATCGCTGTGAGGAGCTTGTTTCTGCTGATGCAAGGGACGTAACTCGGCACCTTAGATGACTGGGCCACCTGTGCCTCTTAAGAAGATATCAATTTATATTTTTTCACAACACATTGCTTTTCTGGCATTAACCATATCCAGAAAATAATTATTTTTTGTTTGTAAAACTGGTGGCAAAATTATTTTCTTCATCTTTTCTCAACGATATTTTTTGGTTTATATCCAAAGCTCACCCAGAATATAAAATGGTCAGTATGTTAATGTTTTCATTTGCTTATTAATGAGTTTGTGCTAACAAATAAATTGTAAGTGAGATCTGTGGTATATTTCCATAAACCGTAAAATAAATTAGGTCACGCCCACTAACGGATTACTATTTCATGATTGGCTGATAATAGAATAGGTTGGGCTTGCGATGTCATCGATTTTCGTATAGTTCTAACATTATTATTGTATTAATGATTAAATAAGTCTGTGAACTTATTATTGTTGACACATTTATTTATAAGAATTGACTTTAGCGATTATGGAGTTATAAACGTTAAAAACCGGGGTGCACACTTTGCGTTAATCATTAAATTGTGGATTTACACAGTGTGCCCAACACTGGATTTTACGTTAATACTTCCATAAACGCAAAAAAAATTGATGTCAATTCTTAATACCGTATTCGACGCAATAAGCGCCCAGGGTGCTCTCAAAATTTGAAATAGGGGGCTCTTATTGGAATAATATTTTGGTGAAAAAAACCCATCGAAAGATCGTAAATTTCGTGGTTATGCTGACAGCCTGAAATGATACAAAAGAAAAGTCTGTGTGTATTATACACGACAGATATATTTTCCAGAATTTAATTGCCCATAATTAAGGGTGCATATAAAACACGAGTGCGTATTGTAAGTAAGTCTTGTGTACATTGATCAATCGGAAGGGGTGCTAATTGGGATTGTTCATTAGCCAATATTTTAGCAAATATTGCCGTGGGCGCTTATTAGAGCGGGGCGCTTATTATGTCGAATACGGTAACCTTACAAAGGTAGGGCTACTCTCAATAATTTATGACAAATAGTCTGCTATGAATTGACACTCTCATATAAAAAGGCGACCCATTAATTTCAGGATTGACAGTCAACACACTGAAACACAGGTTACATATGTTGTCTCCATTGGCAACAGACTTTGTTCAAAATGTACCTCCTTTCACCCAGCAATGAATGGGTACCCGGTAGGATGAGATAGTAATGGGACTGTAATATGTAGTGCCTGATACGGCAGCTTGGGTTATATACTCCCCAGGGTGCTGAGAAGAACAGTGCACAGTGATCCAAACAGAGGTAATAATAATATAGCGCCATGACCAATCACTTGGTGATGCATCTTAAATATATATTGTCGGATCATACGTTTTTGTGCAGCCATGTTTATCGCAATTCCTCGTGATATACCAAGGGTGTGTGGCGTCACAAAAACATTTTAAATACTTAGATGATGGCCTGTTTTTATGATAAAGTCATCTTTTATAAATTTCTTGTGATTATAAATAGCGAGAAAACAACGAATGTTTCTTAAGCGTCTGATATATATATTTATACGTATATAAAACTTCATTTAAGTTTTTACTGACTAACGGGAGTCAACCCAAAAAGTACGAGAATCTGTACTTTACAAAGAAAGTGTTATCCCAAATTTAACATTTGTCACATTGTTATATTTCAGTCAACACTGTATGTTATTATTTTCAGGAATAAGTGTAGTTTAGACATTTCCAGGGTCAAACCTGGCACAATAGGCCATTTGTGACATCAGACAGTTGTCAAAATGGGACAAAATTGACCAAAATGAGGGTCATTCTTGAAGAAACATTATTCTTTAACAACTAGATGTACTATCATATATGTCACGAATCTCTCTCAAATCACATTCAGACATTTACATTATTGACAACTTGAATAGTCCTGATGCTACATAATGATCATCACATAAGAAAAGATTTCTATAAACACATGATAAAAAAAAAATATTTATGAAAAATATTTTCTAAATTTAAGTGCTAAATGTTTATGAAAAAAAAAGGTATGAAATCTGAGAAATATCACATCAATATATACACCATAAAAAACGGATAAGGAAGGATGACAGAAAACACGCTGTAATCGCCCCTTGTGCACACACTGTCTATATAAAACATAGGAAATAAATATTGTCATATCATAACAATTGATTTTCTCCTAGTTTGAGCATGTTGTCAGTCGTGAGGTGACCATGGCTTGTGGAAGAAATTATGTGCCAGAGGGGTGCAATGGGTTGAGTCGAAATCCTCCATGTATTTGGAAGCCTGAAACAAACAATAGAATCATGAATGGATGACAGCGAGGAGCGGCAATACAGTCGAAATCCTCCATGTATTTGGAAGCCTGAAACAAACAATAGAATCATGAATGGATGACAGCGAGTAGCGTCAATACTTCATAGGTTGGGATACACAATGTTCCCCCATCACCCGTGAATACATACGTATACATTTGTAGCAAAGTCGCTATTTTTAGCCAACTCAAGATATGATGGCTCTAGTGAAGTACCATTGATCGTTCAGTTTACAGTACAGAGATTCTGAACAGTATTTCTTGAAAAAATATGAAATGTAATCAGGACAAATTGTGGATTCAAAATCTCAACCACATGTTCCTGGCATGCCTAAGGGAGGTAACTCTGCACTGCAAATTGTGGCACCTAAGATGACTGTACCCCCTGTGCCCCCACTACAACCAAATGGCCACAGTTTGTGGAAGACATTGTTGGGCAACGGGCTGCACTGTTTGTTTGTTTTGTTTGTTTGTTTGTTTGTTTGTTGTTTAACGTCGCACTCAGCAATATTTCAGCTACATGACAGCGGTCTGTAAATAATCCAGTCTGGACCACACAATCCAGTTATTGACATCATGAGCATCGATCTACGCAGTTGGGATACTCAGCGAGCCTGACCACCTGATCCTGTTAGTCGCCTCTTACAACAAACATAGTGACAAGCATGGGTTGCTGATTCTGACCCGGATCTTGTGGAAAGTCAGACTTAGATCATAGATGTTTGAGCAAGAGTACCCACCAAAGATGTGAGTGAGTGAGTGAGTGAGTGAGTGAGTGAGTGAGTTGGGTTTAACACCATGTCAGTTATATCGCAGAGTGTCAGTTTGATGGGAGGAAAAGCCTGAAGTGATGCAGGTCTTAGACCTTTACCACTTCAGTGAAAACCACAAGCATGGGTATGGTGCTGACAAACTTAGAAACATATCAGGACAAATCTGGGATTTGAACCCACGATGCTAGGTTTCCGACATGCCCAAGTGCAGTCAATTGAAGCTCCTTGGACTAGTGGGGCACCTGCAATGGCTGATCCGTTTTGCTTGTTGTTAAATCTGCACTCAGCAATATTCCAGCTATATGATGGTGGTCCGTAAACAATCAAATCTGGACCAGACAATCCAGTGATTGACATCATGAGTATCAATCTATGCAATTGGGATACGATGAAATGTATCAACCAAACTGCGATCATGACCACCTGATCCTGTAAGTTGCCTCTTACGACAAGCATGTCTTACTGAGGATCAATTCTAACCCAGATCTTCACTGGGGCTGATCAGAACTTATAATGTTCATGATATGAAAAAAGAGAGAATTTTTCAATGGTGCTTCTTCGAATGAAAACTCCCTTAATGACTTACCAAGAATAAAACTAATTGATTTTTCTTCACTTGATCAAAATCTTCACCTGAAATAATAATAATGAAATTATCATAAAGAATGGATGATCAATGGAGAGTGCCAAATTTTTAGCATAATCGGACAAAACTGCCATGAAATTAGAAGACTTTTGCCATGGAATTCTTCAAGGGTTGTATCACCAAGATGACTTATCTTAATTTTCCAGAGAATTTCCAATTTGTAAAAGGACGAGGTAGGCCCTTTTTGGCCACAAGTCAAATCTCCAATTTGCGGGTACACAGATATGACTAAAATGAGTGAAAAAGTTTGAGTTTTCAAACTTCATATTTAAATATTACGTATGTGCAGTGTGGTGACCCAAGACAATATTTCTACAAGATGTTTCTCCTGTTTTCCTTTACATCTCCTTAGAAACTCAGTTTGGGTCAAAGACTTGCTCATGCCCAAATAGTGGAAAAATGTTTCCTAAGAACATGGAAAATCAGTAGTTTTGATACATTTTCGCCTTACCTATGCATGTCAAAAACATGCAGTAGTTGAATTAAACAAAGTATTTTTCTCATTCATTCTCAACACATCTGAGTTCAACACATTTCTGAAATTATGCATATTTAAAGGGTCAAACTGGGCCTTCTTACCTTGACCATTGTTTAACCAGTGTTCACTCGACAGTCACTATAAATAATCACAATCAGAATTTTGCCCATTTCTTGGTCATTCTGGTCAAAAACAGTGTCTTTCAAAAACATTGGAATAATTTGTTTCACAAGAAAAGGCCATCATCTTGAACTTTTTAATTTTTACGAGAATGTGTCTAACCCTACCAGGTGTTCTAAAAGTTACAGGCAGTAATGAATTATCAGAAAAAACCTACTCACCTAAATGACAAGGAAATGAATGAGAGTGCTCCTCTGTGTAGGATCGTATTGTGGCTACACACCAGTCAGCGTCCACGTTGTACTCCGACCACATCACAGCTAAAATAAAAAACACAGGGTCAGATCCACATAATCAGGGGGTATCTTGGATCGTCCACAATCACAGGATCCTAGCTTACCTAAGGGACACAACACTGCACAGCAAGTTAAGAAGGCGTATGAGAATGAGGAGGACAATTCAGGAGAACAATGAAGAATTCCCTCACTGTTCATGCCTGCAGAACTAAATATTCTAGCCAAATTTGTCTTTCTGTTTTGTTTTCAAAAGGCTTGATACAATGATTTCTAAATCTAATTCTGAGAGATATGAGAGAAATTTGGAGGGAGAATAACAAGCTTGTTCCTGGAAATGAGCTAAGGAGTTCTGCAGAATGATACCATGAACACAACACAAGCACTTTGGGTGTCACTGCCGCACTACATCAGGAGACCTCCTATCCATTTCCACCCAAATAAACCAGGCTGCTTCAAACCTGAATGTTACATCATGCTCCATAAATGCAGTAACCTTTCCGAAATGTTGCCTTGTTCTTGAAACATAAAATGGTACGATCTACGGCTACCATAGAGAGGGATGCAGAAATTCTTGGAGAATATTAAACATTCAGCTGTGCAATTTGGCAGAATTAAAGTTCCACAGAATGGCATCAAAGTCCTTTGCCATGAAGATAAACTGACAGGTTCAACATGGGATTCAAGCTCCCGGAATGATATGACGTGTGACGTAGTGTGACGTAGTGTGACGTAGTGTGATGTAGTGTGACTCACCCTGCTCGGCTCTCTCCCTCGACAGCCACAAGTCCAGCACTGAGGCTGTGCTAACGTCAACTATTTTTGGATATCTGGAAAATAGTTTCAAAAGAGTGAGTATGCAAGATGAGTGAGTACACTGGTTTTAAGACGCCAAGAGACTTTATCTCTCCGGGGGCTGTTGAGAATCACGACAGTGACTGTGTTGTTTTACAGTCAGCAATATGCCAGCTATACAAGGCAGGTCTGTAAACCAGAAATTGGCTATCAGCACGTCTCATTTCTGGCTGTGATAAGGATCGTCTTCAACAATAACCAAAGACTGGAAGATGGGGGGTTGTTAGTTCAACGCCAGGTCAGAGACAGCAATATTCCAGCCATATCAGGGTGGCTGTACATAATATGCCCCCACCACTGGGATCTCCAAGTCCAAACCTGATCCATTAAACCACCCTGGCAAGCACAGGTTACTGGGTACATATTCTAACCTGGGCTCCCATAAAATACTGAACAATGACTAGTGCCATAAAATTTAATACTCGATTCATGTTGAAATTTGCAAAAGAAAATTTCCACAGTGAAACTAAATTAACCAGGACCAAAGTGCTCTCATTGCAATCATCTGGATCAACAAATTTGTATTAACAAATGAAGGTTCCAGGGTACTGTCCCTTTCAATAAATGCCAATATTCCCAGAATGTCCTGTATGGAGGGGGGCTTCTCAGGTTAACAGAATCTAGACAACCCAGGGTTCACAGTATACAGGTACTTGTACATGCATGAAGATACTTACCTGTACTGCAAAAGCTTAGCAAGAAGCATGTTGCCACGGTTACTTCGAACTTGTGGAGGAAGACCAGGATTCATCCTGTAAGAAACCAAGAGACTGATCGTAACAACCTCTCATATACTTCAACCAAGGTCTGAGAACAAGTTGGGTTTTACGCTGCTTTTAACAGTATAGCAAACCATTAATGGAATGTGCTTGAAATAAAGAATGAAACTCAGTGGGTCATTGTCACAAACCCTTATGTTTAGGGAGTTCCGAATACTACAAATAACTCAAGGAAACCATGACCCCATTAATGTCTCCACACAGATTTGGGCACAACACTGACCAATGTGCAAACTAAGAATAGCCTGTGCCACTTACTCCGTGGTAATGATTTCATCCTTAGATCTCCGTATCAACAGGACTTGTCCCGGGTACCTGCAACCATGCACAGAAACATCTCAGGGTTTCACCAGACAAAAAATATTGCGTCCTCTAAGCAAATAAATTGAGAATGGATTCAAATAATTTACACTGTGGGACCCATGATTTCAACATGGGGCAGAGACAAATGTTTGTAATATCCAAAGTGATGCACCATCATTACCATGACAACATGTTTTTGCAGCAACATCCCATGTCTCCAGAGCAACCTAACGCGGCAACAAATGATGTTTCCATAGCAACCTACCATGACAACATGATTAAGGGCAAACAACAAATCACTAGTCAGCATTGATGCCACGCTGTAATATCCAGTCAAGTCCCGTTAATCCGACATGGTTGGTTGCATATGATTATGTCGGATTTATGAGTTTGTCGGACAAACGAAATTAAGTAGTATCAACGTTTGTGATCGAAAATCAGACAACTACATGATAGATAATGATACAAACACATTGTAATAAAAAAATGAAATAATCATATCGTTATGTTACATTGTTAGCAGAAGATGTTTTCTAATCATGCAAACTCTAAAGCTAAACATAAAACTACAGTTAGTGCTGTATGACTGATTCAAAATACTTTAAAAAGCATAGTCTGGAATGGAAGTCGCCACTTTGAACTAGTGCTGCAAAACTCAAGAAAACTGCTTTCTTAGTGGCTAATGTCGACTTCCTGTTAGTCATTTCATTGGTCGGTCAAAGTTCGCGAAAGATCGTTCTGACATGACCTGTAATGGGATGTCCTCAGCGCTAGCGAGAACTTGTATATGAATTTAATGAAATTGAGGTAATCTAAGCATGTGATTAATCCTGTTTTGTTTATTTAAAGCATTAATTGTTTATTGTTAAACAAGTATATCTCTGCAGCCATTGTAATATGCAGCTACCAGCTGACTCGTCTCACATCAAAACACGGTCTATATAACACTGATTTAATCGGTCCCCATCATTAGTGTCGGATAAAGCTGTAGTCAGATTAACGGGTGTTGGATTAACGAGACTTGACTTAGATCACTGATAGCCATAAAACTGTTAATCACTGTTTCCACTTATTCAGATCCCAAATACACTGAGCTTGAAAAGACATGTGCGTAGCCAATCATAACAAACACACTAAAGGCAATGACGGACATTGCCGGACTGAAGGACTAACTGCAGTTCAATCAGTACTTGGTTGTTGTTTAACACTGCACACAGCAATATTCCAGCTATCTGACGACGTTCTGTAAATAATCAAGTCTGAACCAGACAGTCCAGTGATTGACATCATGAGCATCGATCCACGCAATTGGGATACAAGGACATGCATTGGTAGTTGAGCAAGGACTAAGTTGAGGTGAGGTGAAATATGGGGTTTAACTTCTTTACAAGACAATCCAGTGATTGACATTATCATCATCGATCCCTGCAATTGGGATACCATGACATGCAATCCACCAAGTCACTGAGCCTGATCATGTGATCAATCTAGTGATCTCTTACAAAATTGCAATGGTAACAGTAGAAAGGACTTGGCTAGAGCCCTGCTGGGCCCTCCACTTACTTGATGACCTGCTCCGCTATGTTCAGGTTCATGTAGTTCCGCAGAGCAAACGTCACAATACCCTCTGGAAATAACATACAGATGTATTACCCATATGCTTCAAAATTAGCATGTTTATAACACAATATGAAGCAGAGGTCTAATAATGACTTCACATGCTCTTCAGAAATGTCTTCTGGTGATGTACTGTTGACTCTGCTAGCCTGAGGTCATGGTTTGCTAATTCACTACATCATAAAGTGTGGCTGACAAAGTGAGTATAATAGACGTGTGCATCCATACCTGTCACTCATCTCGCGTGAGTCTCACGCATTTATCACCTATGTCACGCTCACACGCAAGGTTTGGAAATTCTCACGCATTCATATAAAATGTAAATAAAAATATTTTGAAACGCTTTTCTCTTTCGATTTATTGCGATTGCAACCAACACCAACATCAAATTGCTTTTCTTCGATTTTGAAAATGTCTTGATAAATGTGCTTTAAATAGAGTGAAAGAGTTATCATGGTTATGTGAATCAAAACTGTGAATCATTTATTGTTTGAGTCTCTTTGGAAGTGACTATTTGGCAACAAATCTTGTTCAATGTTTTGTTATATATATATGATGGACATGGATTACTTTGAATTGAATACAGTTTCTCAAGGTATGTGTTTTATCTTTTCTTTTAATTTTTGACAAATATATTTTTCAGAATACATGCTCTCTAAGGCCATTAAAATGGTCTTAAAATCAATCAAAACCAGTTTTTGCCGGGGGGGGGGCTTTGCCCTAGGCTCTCACTCTAGAAGCAATACTAAACCCACAAAATAAACTAGAAAACTTCAAGGCCTTAGGCGTATTCTTAATCAAAACGGAACTAATAAAATGCCAGCAAGTACTTTATGCAGGCTATAGATACAGACTGGATGTCAAGCGTCAAGTTGCTGTTCACTGGAAGTGTGTCCACACAAGAAAAACTGTAATGCAATTCCTTGATGCCGTTGGATATGTACTATGTAAATATCAGCTATTAAACAATGTATGAAGCTTTAAGATTGTCTTGTCTGTTTAACCATCTTTTGGGTCTGTTCATTATTTTAGAGGTAACACAGCACTTGACTTATGTGCAGTCAGCTGTAAATTTGTTTTGATAATGATAAGGCTGTAGGCGAAATGAGGTGTAGGCGAAATGAGGACAGGCCTTGCAGCCCCTGCACCCTGGCTTCTCACTCATTTAGACATCCAGGGGTTGACAGCTATGGTGTTTCCAACTGATGTCTTGAAATTGGTGTCAAGTTTCGTCAAGTCGGAACAACACAAACAATCATGACTAATGTACTGAGGTCTGTTTAATAACATGGCTGCAGCATGCACTTTGACCTTAACTATTTTTAACAAATGGCTGCACTGTGGACAGTTCTAAGGCTCTAATGAACTTACTTAATACTTCTGGCATCTTAGACACGGCAAGGGGGACGATGTCATCGAATGTGGCATCTAGTACCTGAAATAATTAAGCAGGAGAATGTCACGAAACAGTTTCTGCATCAGGTAATCTTTGGAAAACACATCTCACAAAAGTAAATAAGGCTTAAAAAATAATAGTCTTGGTTCTCAGGCAACGCCCAAATCATAATAACGTCTGTCACATGTTTTGTTTATATTTCCATTTTTAAAAAAATGAAAAAATCCTAATACTTAAAAACAATGTGATCCAATAGAGCACGCAGTTACTTCCCTTTACATGCATACTGCTTTACTGCACATTGTGTGTTTTGGTCCTGGCTGCAATAGGAGTTTGTATGCTTGTTTATGTAGGGAGGCCCTTTCCCAGGTTGATCGTACACAACTGTTTATCTGGATACATACTAGTTTGAACAAGGAAAAAAATACCCTCCGCCCGCCCGCCCACACTATATTTTTAAAAGTCATTGCCTGAGAACCGATTCTTATATTTTTCTAAGTCTAAGTCTAAGTGTCTAAGTGTGAATCTAGCAATCGTTAGTAACACCCCATGGCACCACATCGTCAATCAAACAGAATAAGTGCCGGCAGAACTCCGAGAACCCCGTCAACTATTCTGTCCCAGAACACACGAGGGTTTGTCATGGTTGCAGACAAATACTGACATACCCTCCATTTCAGAATAGCAACCCACTAGGGCAACAAATGATGTATTCATAGCAACCCAACATGGCAACAAATGATGTAGTAATAACCACCATGACAACAAAGTGTTCTGCAGCAACATACCATGTCTCCATAGCAACCCATCATGACATGTTTCTTCAGCAACATACCATGTTTCCATAGCAACCCACCATGACAACAGTTTCTGCAGCAACATAGCATGTCTCCATAGTAACCCACCATGACAACGTTTCTGCAGCAACATACAATGTCTCCATAGCAACCCACCATGACAACATGTTTCTGCAGCAACATACCATGTCTCCATAGCAACCCACCATGACAACATGTTTCTGCAGCAACATACCAAGTATACGTTGCAACCCACCATGACAACATGTTTCTGCAGCAACATACCAAGTATACGTTGCAACCCATGTCAATAATCAAATTATCCATAGCAACCCCATGGTACTATTTATCTGCAACCCACCATGTTTCCATAGCATCCAGCCATAACAACAAACAATGTATCCATAGAAACGCACCATGGCAACACATGTCTGCAACAATCCACCATGTATCCATAGCAAACAACCAGAGCAACCAACCATATCAACAAATGATGTATCCATAGCAACCCTACAGAGCAACCCATCTGTGCAGCAACCTACCATGTACTTAATATCAGGATAGTTCATGGCAGCCCAACTAGCGGAGTACCCGCCGATGGACCAGGCGAAAATGATGATGTTCTGTGGCTGAAATCCCAGCTTGTGAATGGCGTACTGCATGACGGCATCAATGGCGTTCTGTTCTTGGTCAGGGAAAGGAATTCCCTGTGGACACAAGACACAAACTAATCATACATTGTATCGTGGTACGAAGGTTGTATCATACAATGGTTCATGTATTAATGAAACACTTATTATTATCGTTGCTTAATGCCGCACTCAGCAAGATTCATGTAATATGATGGCAGCCAATAAATAATCATGTCTGGACCAGACAAATCAGTGGTTGATATTATGACACAGGATCCATTCCTGCCGTACGCCAAGCATTGGGACCCATTCTAACCCAGAATCCCCACAAAGGTCCTGTCCATAATATGTTTGTTTGTTTGTTGTTTAACGCCGCATTAGCAATATTCCAGCTATATGACGGCGGTCTGTAAATGATCAAGTCTGGACCAGACAATCCAGTGATTGACATCATGAGCATCCATCCATGCAATTGGGTAAGTATGACATGCATCAACGAAGTCAGCGAACCTGACCACCCGATCCCGTTAGTCGCCTCTTACGACAAGCATAGTCGCCTCTTATGGCAAGCATGGGTTGCTGAAGACCAATTCTAACCTATTCTATTGATGCTATTTTGTAAATTTGAATGACACAAGCTGACGACTGTCGCCATTTTGTAATGCAAATGCAACAGGGTGACAATCGTCGCTATTTGTAATGGAACATTTTTCCGACAGCTACAAGACACTCAATTTTCCCTGCAAGGAGGAACGGAACAAAGGGTGAAACCCATGTGTATGTATATGGTGCTGACTGACGAAAAGAAATTAATAATATTTCAAACATAAATTTCGGACGATGCCAGAACTTACAGAGCTTCCACCAAATCCTGGATGGTTCCATCCCAGTATCGAGTAGTTGAGATCCATCGGGGTTCCACAGCAGCCGATCTCATAGAAGCCAGCATTGCCCTCACAGCAGATCACCTAGACAACAAGTCAGAATGTATGAGACACGCCATGGAGCTTTACAAACATATATATGTTTTGCCGTTAACACAGATTAGAATCTCATCATCAAGCCTTCCAAACATATTTCCTCCAATTGCACAGAGGCTTCTCATTAAGGTTTAAAGCTATGGTACATGTCAAAGGCACTTCTGAACCGCAAAACAAATGTGATGAAACTGTCACAGTATGTCCAGTTTTTACAAGAAAAACAACCAGCAATGACAACAATTTTCAGACATAAAAGTTTCTGGTTTTGAGATATTTTGCTGTGGCCATTCATCATTTCCAGAAAGAACAAACTTACGAGCGATTAGGCGGCTGCAGTAAAAGAATTACAGTTGTCAGTTCAGAACTCTGGATGTTCAAATGACAACCCTCAACATACCAGCGTGTTGCCATTTCCTGACTTGACGCTGCGTCGGTCCAGGAACATGGTGTCAATGTCGTTGTTGTCCTCTGTTACCACCTTCGCTCGGACGCCATGTTTCTGTAAATACAGACTACCAGTTTTCGAGGGATGTCCTTGGTGTTTAACCCTATAGTACTCTTAGATGCTTACCACTTCGGTGACAAAACTTAGAGACATAATCTGGCCGAACCTGGGATTCAAACTACAATCAAAGGTTTCTAAGGGACACAACTCTGCAAAATGTTTTATGGCATCTTAGATGAAGGGTTGGTTGGTTGGTTTGTTGTTTGATGCCGCACTCAGCAATATTCCAGCTATATGACGGCAGTCTGTAAATAATTGAGTCTGGACCAGACAATCCAGTGATTAATATCATGATCATCGATCCACGCAATTGGGATTGATGACATGCATCAACAAAGTCAGCAAGCCTGACCACCCGATCCCGTTTGTCGCCTTTTACAACAAGCAGTCACCTTTTACAGCAAGCATGGGTTGCTGAAGACCTATTCTACCCCGGAATTGGGCCACCTGAGTCTCCATTATAAGTCCTATACAGACCCTGACTCTGGTACAAAGCATCAGCAGCAAACACCATCCCTACCTCTTCTATCAGCTTGGCTCTGTTCTGTATGAGAGTGTCACCTACAAAAGATAGCAGTAGTGTTCAGTCTTCCCACATGTCAACAACAGTTTCCTTTGATTCCACTCCTAATCAAGTACATGTGATTTGTTTCTTAAAATTCTTTTTTTGTTGTTTATTCAGCAATATTCCAGATTATTGACAGTGGCCTTTACATAATAAGCGTCTGGACCAGACAATCCAGTGATTGATATCATGAGCAATGATCCATGTTGTTGGGTTATGATGACATGTTATCAAGTCGACGAGCCTGACCGCCCAATGCATTAAGTCACAGTTTGATATGGGAAGAAAGTCCAAAGTGACGCAGGTCTTGAACGAGTACCATTTTGGTGACACCTGTGAGAACATGTATGGTGTCAACAAACCAAGAATTACAATCTGGGCAAGTCTGGGACAGGAACTTAAATGTTCCTGGCCCGCCTAAGGGACAAGACTTTGCATAAACAATTACGGCACCTTAGACAACTGTCCACATTTGCACTGTTGCTGCAAAAGTTTGTAACAAGTGAGTGAGTGAGTAACACTGATTTGAACAGTATTCCAGTTATATCACGGCGTGTCAGCTTATGTGGGAGGAAGGCCCTTAGTGATGCAGATCTTAGACGTCTACCACTTTGGTGAAACCCTTGAGCTAAGTATGGTGCTAACAAACCTAAAGACATAATCAGGTCTAGCCAGGATTCAAACCCACGATCATAGATTTCTGACAAGAAATTGCAGCACCTTAGATTACTGGTCCACCAGTGTCCCGCTTGTCAGATGAACTGCCTTGTGAGTACAGGGGGTAACACTGTGTGACATGGTTGACTGTGTGCCTGTGTGCCTGTGTGTTGGCGAATTGGTCCAGGACATAGACTGCAGATACTACCCTGGATAACGGAGGATGACCCTTAAGAACTTACTGATTAGTGTTTTCATGATGGAGGTTGTGCCGGGGTAGACCATCCTGCGGCCGAAAGTGTGAATGGCAACATAACTGAAACCAGATAAAAACATCCAGTTTGAAATGCTTTGTTGTAGAGTGACAATGGAACTTTCAAATCACAATGGCATGATTTGAATAAGAACCAAATGCCTGAAAGGCATACTTAGAATCACGTTTTATAAACCTGAGTCATGTTTATCACATGAAACCAGTGATAAATGTACTTTCACACAAGTAAACGGTTACTTGTGTCAGTGTGATGATCGAGCATCAGTTACTTGTGTCAATGTGATGATCAAGCCTCAGTTACTTGTGTCAGTGTGATGACCGAGCATCGGTTACTTGTGTCAATGTGATGATCGAGCATCGGTTACTTGTGTCAATGTGATGATCGAGCATCGGTTACTTGTGTCAATGTGATGATCGAGCATCAGTCACTTGTGTCAAAGTGATGATCGAGCAGCGGTTACTTGTGTCAGTGTGATGACCAAGCACCGGCTACTTGTGTCAATGTGATGATCGAGCATCGGCTACTTGTGTCAATGTGATAATCAAACATGGGTTACTTGTGTCAATGTGATGATTGGTCATCGGTCACTTGTATCAGTGTGATGATTGAGCATCGGTTACTTGTTGTCAATGTGATGATCGAGCATCGGTTACTTGTGTCAATGTGATGATCGAGCATCGGTTACTTGTGTCAGTGTGATGATCGAGCATCGGTTACTTGTGTCAGTGTGATGATCGAGCATCGGTTACTTGTGTCAGTGTGATGATCAAGCATCGGTTACTTGTGTCAATGTGATGATCGAGCAGCGGTTACTTGTGTCAATGTGATGATCGAGCATCGGTTACTTGTGTCAATGTGATGATCAAGCATCAGTCACTTGTGTCAAAGTGATGATCGAGCATCGGTTACTTGTGTCAGTGTGATGACCGAGCACCGGCTACTTGTGTCAATGTGATGATGGAGCATCGGCTACTTGTGTCAATGTGATAATCAAACATGGGTCACTTGTTTCAATGTGATGATTGGTCATCGGTCACTTGTATCAGTGTGATGATTGAGCATCGGTTACTTGTGTCAATGTGATGATCGAGCATCGGTTACTTGTGTCAATGTGATGATCGAGCATCGGTTACTTGTGTCAATGTGATGATCGAGCATCGGTTACTTGTGTCAGTGTGATGATCGAGCATCGGTTACTTGTGTCAGTGTGATGATCGAGCATCAGTTACTTGTGTCAATGTGAAGATCGAGCATCGGTTACTTGTGTCAATGTGATGATCAAGCATCAGTTACTTGTGTCAGTGTGATGACCGAGCACCGGTCACTTGTGTCAGTGTGATGATCGAGCATCGGTTACTTGTGTCAATGTGATGATCGAGCATCAGTTACTTGTGTCAGTGTGATGACCGAGCACCGGTCACTTGTGTCAATGTGATGATCGAGCATCAGTTACTTGTGTCAGTGTGATGACCGAGCACCGGTCACTTGTGTCAATGTGATGATCGAGCATCAGTTACTTGTGTCAATGTGATGATCAAGCCTCAGTTACTTGTGTCAGTGTGATGACCGAGCACCGGTCACTTGTGTCAATGTGATGATCGAGCATCAGTCACTTGTGTCAGTGTGATGATCAAGTATTGGTCACTCGTGTCATTGTGATGATCGGTCATTGGTCACTCATGTCATGATCAAGATATATTGTGTAAGTCATTGACAGACTCAAAGGTCCAGCATGACTACCTACACAAAGACATATTTCATCCCAGACAGCATCCAATACTCTGGATCAGTGCTCTCCCTGGCCATTCCTTGGACACAGAACTGTGAGGGCCACCGATGCACCTACCTGATGATGTTGCAAGGCAGTGTTGAGATGGCACTGGCCGGCTGGACGCGGGAAGACCGGGGTATCTGAACCTTGGCCTTCTTCACGTCCCTGTACAAACCATCAACAACTGTTGTTAAAGTAAGTAAATGTGGCTTGGCCTTCTTCACATCCCTGTACAAACCATCAACAACAACAACAACTAAAGTAAGTTAATGTAGCTCACCTAGATAATGCCTGTCTGTTTCTTATTTAACTTTGCAGTTCCTACCATATGATGTCAGCCTGTAAATAATCAAGTCCTGGCCAGGCAAACCACGGGTTGATATTAAGAGCAACATTCCCTGTTATTGGGTCCTGATGACACACAATTAACCAAGACAGCGAATGAGATCACCAGATTAATTAAGTCACCTCTAATGACAAGCATTGGTTGCTAAGAACATACTGCATATTATACAACTCAAAAGAAGTTAAGGGCCACCTCATTCTTCCATATTACTACAGCTAATCTGTCATACCATGACAGATTAACTATAGGAATGTGAAAGAATTATGTGTTCTTTAACTTCTTTCGTGTAGTATATTTTTAATTACCTGGCTACAGTCTATTGGCTGTATTTAAAACAATTAGGAGACTTTGTTGTGAATAAGCTGTCTATTATGTACACTATAAATTATTAATTTTTTTTTTTTTTAAAAACTTGATCTGTCTTTTGCCCTTTAATATTTATGCAAAGTCCCTGCATTGGAGTTTCTGAACACAATTGGGGGTCCTATACACCATGTCCGAAAGATCAAACAAGGGCCCAAACCCTGTATATATCTAACGATCATTTCCGACTCAGTGCATATGTACACAGGCAACTCAAAATGTATTGGGTGATGTCGATTTCCTGCCATGTCTTTCACAGATGCACAGCTTATCTGGCACAGTCCAGCTGAATTTTCTGTTCCAAGTTTTCAACGGACTGTTGATAATCACCACAGGACAAGGGTGATACTTTGGGAGACTTGTTATTATTAGAAAGTCTTACCCTTGATTGACATCAGTCCAGCGGAAATCAACTGGCCACGCCCAGAACTCGTAGTCATAACGCCACAAAGCTCGCTGAGGAAAACAAATATAAGACAATCAGAACATTCCTCTGGGCATGAAATATACATGAAAATTGTGAGTGTCCCTTGCTCCCATTAATACAGAGTTAGATTTCTACACCAAATCAGAATCAGTCGTTGGGCCAGCCCCTTTCGGAGAGACAACTGAACGTAGATTGAGAAATCTGGCAGCTGTGATGGGATGATATTAAGTAGTTGGTTGGTTTGTTGTTTTATGCTTCACTCAGCAATATTCCAGCTATATGACGGCGGTCTGGAAATAATCGAGTCTGGACCAGACAACCCAGTGATTGATATCATAAGCATCGATCCACACAATTGGGATCGATGACATGCATCAACCAAGTCAGCGAGCCTGACAACCCAATCCCGTTAGTCGCCTTTTACCACAAGCATAGTCGCCTTTGTACATGTTGTAAGATTATTATGACTTTTGTTAAAATTAATTAAAAATTTAAGAGCTGTCTTTTTCAACATGCTAACAACTGACATGGTGATTCCTTATACAAATGTTTATATGGTTTTAATGTTTTTACTGAGCAGTTAGTGTTTAGACATCAGGAGAGGTGAAAGCAGTATCTGTTATTGTGTATGAGAGCAATGGACACTTTTGGAACTCAATAAATGCAAATCACACAAAAACCTTGAACATCTCAAAACAAAACAATTCTTCTTTACAATGTTATTAGTAATATTACTGAAAACAAGCACATTCCTTGTGAGGAAGCAGTACCTCGAGGTCATGCTGAAGTTAGAGGACTCACCCTGTTGGCCTCGGTGAGTGATCGCTCACATGTCATCAATGTTGAGATGAAGGTCATGTAGTCCGGGTTAGAGAACCGGCCAATACCTGGACAAGGAATGGAACAAGTGGCAGCAACTTTAAAACACAACACAAACATTGAATTGGAATACATTGCGACACGGGCATCTGTATTTGGATACATTTTACAATATATTGTGAGCCATTTATGTCAATTTTCGACCAAAGTGGCGCCAAACCTCTGATTATCCCCTCTTGTTTGCAACAATGCCAAAGTCAGCATGTTGGTCCTTCTCTCCCCATTTTGGATATAGGGGATACAACAATCTGAGAGAAATATCACTTCCGTGTTTCTGCTGTTTTGTCAATCAATTTCAAAGAGAAAGATTATTTGTGAATGAATTTCTATGTACAGTTCTGTGCTAGGGCCTTTTTATCGAAACCCAGAATACCCACAGTAAGACCAGCACAGAACCCAGAATACCCACAGATTGCTGGGGCCTATCTTAATCCAGAATACCCATGTTACGACCAGCTTAGATTGCTGGGGCCTATTATAACCCAGAATACTCAAGGTACAATGAGCATAGATGGCTGGGGCCTATTTTAATCCAGAATACCCATGTTACAACTAGCATAGATTGCTGGGGCCTATTTTAATCCAGGATCCTCACGGTACGACCAGCATAGATTGCTGGGGCCTATTTGAACCCAGGATCCTCACGGTACTACCAGCATAGATTGCTGGGGCCTATTTTAACCTAGGATCCTCACGGTACTACCAGCATAGATTGCTGGGGCCTATTTTAACCTAGGATCCTCACGGTACGACCAGCATAGATTGCTGGGGCCTATTTGAACCTAGGATCCTCACGGTACGACCAGCATAGATTGCTGGGGCCTATTTGAACCTAGGATCCTCACGGTACGACCAGCATAGATTGCTGGGGCCTATTTGAACCTAGGATCCTCACGGTACGACCAGCATAGATTGCTGGGGCCTATTTGAACCTAGGATCCTCACGGTACGACCAGCATAGATTGCTGGGGCCTATTTGAACCTAGGATCCTCACGGTACGACCAGCATAGATTGCTGGGGCCTATTTGAACCTAGGATCCTCACGGTACGACCAGCATAGATTGCTGGGGCCTATTTGAACCTAGGATCCTCACGGTACGACCAGCATAGATTGCTGGGGCCTATTTGAACCTAGGATCCTCACGGTACGACCAGCATAGATTGCTGGGGCCTATTTGAACCTAGGATCCTCATGGGCCTATCTTAATCCAGGGAACCGGTCAGAGGCAGTCTGTGAATGTGCCCCCCATGCTCCCAGCTGATGAATGAATGACAATGAATATATCATATACCTCTAGTGAAGAAGGACACTGCATAGATGATCCCGATGGAGATGAGGAACTTGGCAATGGTCGTCAACCCCTCCGTGCTGAAGTACCCTGGAGAACAATGAAAACAATGAATGAATGAGTGTTGTTTTGCGCCACAATATTCCAGCTGCAAGAAGGTGAACTGTACATAATCAAGTCTGGATCAGGGAAACCATGGAGTGAGGTTGGTTCCCCACTGCTGGGATTTGATGCCCAAAACTATTCTGGATCTCATTCACCAAAGCAATCTTAGGCGTAATTTCTCTCTCGTTTTAAGGATGTTGTCGGTGAATCTGTAATTCACATCGACCACCCACTCAGAACACTGTACTCAACCCATGCCTCTTCACTCAATATATTTACTAGCACCAAAGAGTTCGCATTTTATTTAGTCATGGTAGAATGGAGATAAACATACTGTGTTTTCAATATAGAACTAGGTTACCTGTAGATGTAACCATGCTTAATTGAACATTTGAAACCTCACGCTACGCTTTTGTTTCCAAATTCAATTTAGCGAATATAACAACATTTAAAAGGCTAAAATGTGTTCAAAAAGTTAATTTTAGATGCTTACAGAAGCATTTTAAATATTTGAACATGAGCATGTCTTTGACCTGAACTGATTTTCAAAGGGATGTAGGTAAAACATAGGGTCAAAAACCATGTTGGGCTACAGATTTTGCTCTTCGTTAGGTTTATCTTGAAGTTGGAAAATTGTCCCGTATTTTGACTATACTTACGTACTTGAACAAGAAGGAAAAAAGGCTGGTCGTCAACCATGTGAACATGTCTGATAGTGTTCTTACATACATTATTACCCTTATTCAGCCTTGTCCCTTGAAACATCAAACTTGGTCCTTTGGTTTCAAGTTAAATTCATAGTTTTCCAATCTATGTTAGACATCTGTGATTTGAATAGACAGTATTTTCAGGGGTGAGTTTCCTCAGTTGGGACATTTTCCAGGGGTAGGTTGCTCTTAACACTGTTACCTCAGGGTAGGAGTAACAAATCATAATCAGGGCAAGTCTTTTTAAAAATCCAGATCACTGGATCCTGGCAAGACTAAGGGACGCAACTCTGCACCATGTGACTCACCTCGTCTGTAGAGCACAGTCAGCAGCACCGGGGATGTCCAGTAGGAGAGTGACCAACAGAAGTGGATCTGAAACAGTGGGAGGTGTCATTACATCCAGGGGGTATAGCTGAACTGTGAGCCCACAACATAGTCATGGTTTCTTCATTCGCATTAATCCACATTTTTTACACAGTGAGTTAGTGAGTTGGGTTTAACGCCGCTGTTAACAGTATTACAGTAATATCACGGCATGTCAGCTTCATGTGGGAGGAAAGCCCGAAGTGATGCAGGTCTCAGACGTTTACCACTTTGGTGAAACCTAGGTGAAAGCACAGGTATGGTGCTGACAAACCTACAAACACAATCGGGGCGAATCAGGATTTGAACCCACATTCATAGGTTTCTGGCGTGCCCATAGGACACAACTCTGCACAGCGAATCGTGGCGCCTAAGACGACTGGGCCACCCCTGCCCCCCTTTTTTACACAGAGTGAGATAAGGGGAAATAGGGTTTACTGTTGCGTTCAAGATTATTTCCCTAAAATGGCAATGTGTATGTGTGTCTACTTGTATTAGCCCGGGATACTGCCGGTTTTACAGGCTTGGCCTACCAAGTTGCCATGCCACAGATTAACATGGATACCCAACTCAGTATGCTTGTCGTAAGAGGCGACTAACGGGATTGGGTGGTCAGGCTCGCTGACTTGGTTGATGCATGTCATCGATCCCAATTGCGTGGATCAATGTTCATGATGTCTATCACTGGATTGTCTGGTCCAGACTCAATTATTAACAGACCGCCGTCATATAGCTGGAATATTGCTGAGTGCGGCGTTAAACAACAAACAAACAATCAAACCAAAAACAGACACAGCAAACTACTTCCGAGCCAACCAGTCCTTGTTTTATCCCAACTTAATACTTGTCTTAGTCCCTTGATGCCGAGTGCAAGACAGGGTAACAACAAGTACCATCTTTTAATGTCTCTTAGTATGACACGGCCAGGGATCGAACCCCTGACCTTCCTCTCTATCCACTCAACCACGTAGGTAGTCTTTAACACAGGGATTTTAGGAAATTGACAATATACAGGGGTGAAGAGTAGTGTATCTCCCCAGCCATCACTGTTCCTGCTACATCACAGCAGCAAGTACCAGATCAAGTCTGGACCAGACAAACCTGTGGTTGATAGAATGAGCAAAGCTATGCAATTAAGAAAGAATGACAATCACCCAAGTCACTGAGCAAAGATCGATCATTGAGAGCCTACCCTGTACGATGCAATTATTGATAGTAAGAAATATTACCACTTGATATCATTTTTATTCAAAATTCCTTTTGCTTGATCTGTAAATAACCACTCTCAAATACATCAATATACTGTTTTACCAATCAAATATTTCCATTTGCCTGTGATTATTTGTGTAGGAGTCTTAAAACAAAATTATTGTTAGTATGGGTTCTTTGACACACATTTTCTGACAAATGGATAAAAACTTATAATGGATTATCATGTATATATCCAATTATTGACAAAAACACTAACTGATTATGTTCAAAATAAAGCGTGAAAACATAAGCCAAGTACCGATGGATAATGAATAAATACATAATAATTTACCCACCACTTTGATAAACTTGTCCCCGCCAGCCTCAATGAAACCAGGCCGATAAAGGCGCCCAGGCTGAAAGTCATAAAAAACTTGTGCATGTTGTGCAACATGTTTACAAATATTCAACGCAACAAATGGTCCACTTACCTGTCAGGAAACATATAAAAAACTAAGTGTTTCTCATTACCAACCGCCCTAGTGAGAGAGTTGGGTTTAACGCTGCTTAGAACAGTCGGTGATAGAAATTAGATCCTTACCAAACTTCCCAAAAGTTAAGGTACTAGTATCAAAAGGACTAGTAGACATTTGTCATTTTTAAGTGTTTTACTATATATGTTATCGGTGGTAGAAACTAACATTTTTAGTCCACTAGTCCTTAAAATGATAACATATAGCAAAACCCCTAAAAATGGCAAATGTCTACTAGTCCTTATGATATAGTAACTATCAGTCAGGGTGGCCTCTTTGGGATGTGGATTTTCAATTCATACAACAGGACCCGGTTTTTCGCGTGCGAGGGCAAAGTCACTGAAGCGCGTGTTAAAAGGACTTTGAATATCCTGTGTACTAATGTCACCTCACTATTAGCGCTTGGTTGATTCCCGGCCTTCATCACCACCAGGAGACTCGTTTAGCATGTGAAGGTGGCCGCGGCCTGTGTGTTTAGCAGCTGAGTGCAGATACACGAGAAGAAGACTAGTGTGTACTTGAGTGAGTGAGTGAGTTAATATTTAACGTCACATCGGCAGTATTTCAGCCATATCGTGACGAGAACTGACATAAAATACAAAAATTTGAATGGATTAAATATCTGTCATCGAAGGACAGTAAAAATAACTAGAGTATCACAGTTGTGATTTTAAAACTAGTTGAGAACTTTAAAAAGAATACATTTTCAATCAACAATACAATATAAAAATGGGCTATAGATCACCAGCAACCAAAGTAAGGCCACCGTACTGGGGACTGTGGGGACTTACAATACATATGCTACCTGCACGACTCCCCAGCAGGATTTACACCATCCCTTCAGCCGCTGGTGATTATATGCAATTTAGCCAACACTTAAAATAAACAAATATTCTACGTCTAAAACTGTGGCAAGAATAAAGGTACTTTGAATGATGTGGTCTTACATATCCTCTCAGGGGGACAATAATTTTACGTTACTTCAACCCCCTTCAAGGATACAGCCACTGTGTGTACTTGAATGTGTGTGATTTAAAACTGACATGTTGCACTATCAGGATTGTTTGTTTGAAAATTATTACGTGAACTTCACTTGACTATTGGGAAGTTTGGCTAGGACTACAGGGAAAGTGCAAGTTTCTAACTCTGATGTTATCACTATAAGGATAAGTGGACTAAAAATGTTACTTACTATCGCTGAACAATATTCCAGTGATATCACATTGTGTCAGCTTATTCATGTGTCAATGTGGGCGGAAAGCTTGAAAACATGTGTAATGGGATTTAACGTTGCGTCCAAGATTATTACACTTATAGCACTGAGAAACCATGCTGCAGTTTAACATGAATACCCCACTCAGACACAGTATACTGGCTCCAAGCCGACCAGTACTTGTTTTATCTCCTAAATGCCGAGCGCCAGACAGGGTAACAACAAGTACCATCTTTTATTGTTTCTTGGTATTTAAAAGTAAAATTTCTGAGCATTGAATACTCAATTACACCCACCATGCCCACAAATGTTAAAACACATGAAGTTTATAGTGAGTTGGGTTTAACTCCTCTTTTAACAGTATTCCAGTTTCATCGCGACGTGTCAGCTTAATGTGGGAGGAAAGCCCGAAGTGATGCAGGTATCAGACGTTTACCACTTTGGTGAAACCCATGAGCACAGGTATGGATCGAACCCACAATCATAGGTTTCTGGCGTGCCCAAAGGATGCAACTCTGCACAGCGAATTGCGGCGCCTTAGACGACTGGGCCACCCGTGCCCCCCATCTTGTCATGACAGACTAACTATCATTACATGAAAAAACACCTGGGTGCTCTTTAACTTCTTTTGGGTAGTATATTTTACAATACAAATCAGGTAAAGTTTCTAAAATCATGATCAGTCATCACAGGCAACAGCTGACGAAAGATTGATCAAGATAAAATTGTCTTAAGTTGTTTATCTATTAAATATACTTACACAAATAAGTAACATGATTAACAATTAAATAAACATTGTAAATTACCATTTTCATAAAATATGATAAAATAAAAATCTATCTAAATAAATATTGATTAAATAATCAACATTGGATTTTTGCAGACCAGAGTCAAGACTGGACATTTACATTGATCAAATCAGTTACAAAGACTGAATGGAACACCAAGGAACACTGACACTGAGCATTTTGCTGAGCACAGTGTGAGGTCTATGCAAATACAACAAGTCTAATAAAGAAAATTATAAAAAACAAATGGTTAAGGGTTTCATTTTATGTCAAGACAGCAGATGTTGTAACAGTGTCACAATAATCATATTACGATATTACGTAAGTTTCTATAACTAAGCTCTTACTTTTTCCAAGGGCAATTCATTCTCTTATTGTTACTATTTGTACATTCCTAGAAGAATGAGCGATGTCATCAATTAACAGTTACACGAAGTGGAGCTAAATATAATGATACACGAAAGTCTATCTTTTTGAAGTAGAAAAAAATGAAGCAGTCGAAAAACGCGTTGTCAAAATAAACCGGCTATAAATAACATAACGCAGACTGGCAATGCGCGAAAACTGAGGCACAGACATCGCAGCAAGGAAACGTTTCGTTTTCTAACAATCGGAAATAGAACCAGGCTACTTTTTTCAGTAACAGACACCAATGTGAAAACATGAATCTGCTTGTCAAATCACACGGTATTACCTCTGTTACGCTCGCCTGGTGAAGACGGTGCAGTCTCGGTCCAAAGATGCATTTCACTAGGGTCGCCATCTTGTCTAATGTAAAAGTGTGCACAAAAACGAATTACGAATTATGCATAAGTGGAACAAATAATAAATGTTTTCAGTGTGAACTGACCCCGGAGCGAGTTGGCTTCATGATATCCTGTTTCTAAATACGTTTTAATAACACGAGTGTCCGCCTCCACACAAGAATATGACATAATAGATAATCGAGTCTGGACCAGATTATCCAGTGATTGGTAATGTGACCAATGATCCAGGCTGTTGGGGTACGACGACAGGCTATCCACTTGAAGGTCCAAATGACATATAAAAATGTTTGGAAGAAAATGTTTGCAAACTTGGATGATTAATAATTTATTTCATAGTATTGTGTGTGTGTGTGTGTGCGTGTGTGCGTGCGTGCGTGCGTGCGTGCGTGGTGTATATGTGTGTGTGTGTGTGTGTGTGTGTGTATTAAAACCAAAATGATTGTTATTTTATGGACATTAATAAACACCTTGTGTGTCTTGAATGGTAAACTATGGTTCAATATGTATGTTACCTGTCAACTATAGACACAGAAAAAGACTATCATTGAATATGTCAAGATGTGTTAATAAACAACTTGAAACATATTCATCATTTTTTTTTATAAAAAAATGAAATTTTGGTGAGATAAAACAGATGAGATATGAGCAGTTTTGTTGTTGCCCTTGAACTGACAATTGGGCAAATGACATAAAACCTCATCTGTACTGTCATTTGCGAGTAAGTTGCTTTATTATCCAAAACTGGCTGGCATGGGAGATATCGCTTGGGTGAGATATAGAGGTTATCACGCGAGTGTGTATGGGGATGGTAAATATCCTGCATTAGGAATAAACATTGTATTTAGCGAGCCTTGCCGAGCTAAATACATAGTGTTTATTCCTAATACAGGATATTTACCATCCCCAAACACACAAGCCTGATAACCTCTTTATCATATAATGCCATTCTTTAATTCTGTGCTTTAAAATCGCTTTCCCTCTCTCACAAACATTACCGAAACATTGCGAGTTTTCCTGGAATGAGCGCATTAATATGTATTACGTCACAGGATAAGTGATGTGTCAGTCGGACAGTGACAGTAGCCAATATAGTTCCAACTGAAATCTGTTTCTTATACAGTGGCGAAGCAACATATACGCAAAACAACAGTTGTTTTCAATTGCCTTTCGCGGCAATCCATCGGTCTGTCCGCTAGAGTAACTGCCCTTTGTCAAAGGGAAGCTACTCTAACCCTTGTCTATGAGACGTCACGGCCACGGTCAGACGTCGACGTTGTTGACAGTCGGTCTGTCCTGTCATAACGTTAAGAAATGTAGTCAGATGTACACACAGCGACAAAACGAATCAAGGTAACAATTCAAACATATTTCGGCCAAATCCATCTATTTTGATTTGTGGAGAAGGTTTCAAGCCGCAGAGGTCTACAAGCACAGATATGGCTACTGATCCCTCGCAAAATTGTTTCGAAATTTATATCTCCAAAGACCATTGTGACGTCATTGGTTACCATGACATCACAATCAAATGACATCACTAATGGCTCTGCTACTGAAGCTGTCAGCAGTAATTTTATCACCAAGACACTGTTTATTACTTATTGTCTACAAACTGAAAAAGTTGGGAGAAGGATGTTGGATGATAAAAAAATCCCAACCTCGTGTCTTTTGATATCAAATATATCAACACTTGTTGATAAGCCTCGGACTTTTGCCACTTTTTTCAACTCGTGTTGATATATTTGATATCAAAAGACATTCGGGTGAGAGTCTCTATTTGTCGTAAACAATAGCTTTAACATAAACAATAAGTACCATAGGTTGAATATAGATGTTGCATGCTCTTGTTAGGTGGCAAAACGTACATTTAAAAGATGTTAGGAGACTGTTGTATGAGCTATTAGCAACTGAAGAACAGGAGCCCGTTTCACATAACATGTTAACTGGGTACTTGTTCTTACTTTTCATTCTCCCAGTGTATCTTCTAAACAAATGTTCAGCAGTATATTCACTTTTCGAGATGCCTGAAAGTGTGAGTGAGTGAGTGAGTTTGATTTTACGCCACTTTTAGCAAAATTCCAGCAATATCACGGCGGGGACACCAGAAATGGGCTTCACACATTGTACCCATGTCGGGAATCGAACCCGCGAGGTAGCTTGTTTTGGGACTTAGGACTTAAGGAATATACTTGGTAGAGCTGATTACATGGCTATCACCTTGAAACAGAGAGAAGGCTGCCGATTCCCCTGAAGACTTTCTTCGTCCTTGTTTGACTACAGGGCAGTGGAGGAGCACCTGCTGACGTAACAAGAATGAAGGTTCTGATGATTTTACCTCTTGGTGCTCCTTGTCTTTCTGTCTGTTGGCCTTAACACATTCTGTCCCAGGCAGCTGTCATCCAAAGTCTGGCTGCCCAAATTGAAAAGTTTGTAGTTGTTCCCACTGACAAGGCCTCAGATAATATAACCATTATATGTAAGCATCCCTACATTAATTCTTTGATCAATAAACTTGGAAAATATGACATATCAAATAATGCCACATTTAGGGCCAGTATGTTAACTGAGGAAGAAATCTGCCAAAACCATAAATCAGTACTGTCAACTTTTGACTTGACTCTAAGACCTGAAGACATGTCTATTCCTCTTTTGTCCTGTATTCCAAAGCTAAATCTGCCATATGCCTGGTGTTAATTGAAATTACTTCTTATTTACGGAGTGCACTTTTATATTCCCACCTAGCTGATGTTATCTATTGAAATGATGATGCGCTCACAATCTATAATGATAGATGACTGACCCAGACAACTGTCAACGTTGACGAGGGGTTTGCAGAGATAACACTTGCATCTATCATGCTTCTAGTATACTTGATAACACCAACGGCCCTACATGAAAATATAATAAATAATATAATCATTACATACTCACACGCAAAAGAAACGCAAGTCGAGTATGCAGTATACATGTTATTTATTTTCAACAGTTAAGACAAGAAATACTAATAGGGCAGGATTGACAATAATTTGACTGAAGATAGTTTAAAAGGCAGATGACATAATTGATTTTTCAAAATGTTAAGTGCTTACACAGTTTCGGGTCAATACCCAAAATGTCAGTCAGTACCTGGGACAACTTGCACAAAGCGATCTTAGCGCTAAGATGATCGTAACGCTCATACTTTAACATAGGCTTACTATAGTCTTAGTCCCACCATTAGCATTGATCACTGCCACACATCTCCTGTACATTGAGTGCCAAAACCATAAATCAGTACTATCAACTTTTGACTTGACTCTAAGACCCGAAAACATGTCCATTCCTCTTTTGTACTGGATTCCAAGGCTCCATAAACACTCGTACAAAGAGAGTTATACAGCTGGGTCCAGCAAATGTTCCACCAAACCCCTGTCTGAAAGACCATTACCCTTAATACAATCAAGGGAGGTCTTTCTTTATATTCACTGAAAGTATTTGAGACACGTGGAATTAATACCATGTGGATTCTCAAAAACTCAAGAGATTTGCATGACTTTTTAGCAATCTCAGAATTCTTTCAAAACATTTGATTTTTCAACCTTTCACACCACTATCCCACTTCATTCCTTGATCCATGGGTTTGGTTGGTTGGTTTGTTGTTTTACGCCGCACTCAGCAATATTCCAGCTATATGACGGCGGTCTGTAAATAATCGAGTCTGGACCAGACCATCCAGTGATTAATGTCATGAGCATTGATCCACGCCATTGGCATGCATCAACCAAGTCAGCGAACCTGACCACCCGATCTCGTTAGTTGCCTCTTACGACAAGCATAGTCGCCTCTTACGGCAAACCTAGGTTGCTGAAGACCTATGCTACCCCGGATCTTCACGAGTCTTGATCCATGGAGATTTTACTACAAAACATATTGAGCACAGATACAGTTACGCATCTATATTCAGGGGTTTCGGGAGAATTTGTATTTAAAACGTGTCTTGTAGATTAATTTAATCAAAACTGGATGTCAACACCCAACAATAGTACCCGATATGTGATGTATAAAGAAGATAAAACACTGTTTGAACCTGAAAGATATTTGAGTATTTATAATAGTAAAAATGTACGCAGTGTTTTTATTAAATTAAGATGTAATGTTTTGCCTTTACGACAGAACGAGGGTAGATGGCAATCTATTGAATCATGTTTACGTATGTGTCCTGTTTGCAATAGGTCTGTTGAAGATGAATATCATTTCGTATTGATCTGTAAACATTATACTGAGCTGCGTAAAGTTTATTTGCCAGAATTGTATTGGAAGTTTCCAACTTTATATAAGTTCAAAAGTTTGTTGTGTACAACTCAGGATGAGTTATTAAAACTGCAATGTTATGTATATTATGCGTACCAAAAAGACATGACGTCGTAAAATCCATGTAATGTGTTTCACATTGTACTATTGGCATTACATTTCTTGTATATGGGCCAAAGGCCTAAACACAAATAAACTACTTTTAGACTTGACGTTTTGACCAGATTATCCAGTGATTTGGAATGTGAACAACGATCCAGGTTGTTGGGGTACGACGACAGGCTGTCCACCTGTCTACTTCCGATGAGATAACACGTACCTGTCAATAGCTTAAACATATAGAGCAGTTCTGCGGTTCCCCTTGAACTGACTGTTGCAAATGTAAAAAAACCCTTATCTGTACTGTCATATGTGAGCGAGTTGCTTTGTTATCAAACGTGCAAGCGGTTACAAGACCACACAATAGGTACCATTGGTTGAATATGGATGCTGCATGTGGCTCTTGATAGGTGGTTTCAGCACAGTGTTGTATCACGTTATTAGTTACTGAAGTACAAGAATCTGTTTTACATAACATGTGAACTGGACACTTGCTATAATTATTGTTTTTACTTTTCATTCTTCGAGTGTATCTTCTAAACAAATGCACAGCAGTATATTCACTTTTCGAGATGCCTGAAAGAGTATATAATAGTGAACGATATGACCGTTAATTAGAGACAATTAGTAAATGAAATGTGGGTAAATACTTTCTAACTTTTGGATTTGTAAATA